CTTCAGCTACGTACAGACACGCGAGGGGGTTGTGGATTGGTCGTCGATGCGTGTCGAGGGGGTGGATTGTTTCGGTCCGTGTGCGTGTGCACGCGTACAACACAACGCGGATGTATTTGACGCTGGAATATTCCCGTCACCCGGTGAGAGGTGGCGGTGGGTGGTTTAGGGGAAGGGAAAAAAAAAAAAGAAAAGAGGAACGAGATTCTGCACAACAGGAAAGCACGGTGTAGCGCGGATAAACGGGTTTTCCAGCGACGACGAGAGATCACATCCTCCAATTAATGCGTCTCGACTTAACGCTTCGCTTACCTTGCCCATCTGGAGGCGTTTTCTCCCTCTTGCTACCCTTACAGGAAATATTTTTTGCTAATTAGTCGATCGACTCGTCAACGCTTGTCCCTTCTCATTTTTTCCATCGATTTTCCTCCTCGACTTCTATTTCCAGATATTTTTTAAAGTCAGGAAATTACGACGAGAATTTCTGAGATATCGAATTAATCACGTTTAACTGGTTTAGGATGTTAATTAGCCCCGAAAAGTAAAGCTAATCCGTTCGAACACAAAATGGTATTCCGTTGTGAGAAACAGGTGTCACTAATTTACGCGACGTTCACCGGCAAGCAGGATCGTGTAAAAACAAAACACGAAGATCGGTGCAATCAATTCTGATGCACCGTTTCCCAGACGGGGATCCATTTCCTCCCGATGCAACGGGATTTACAACGCCTTGCAGCCTGTAATTTCGGAGCCGATGTTGGAAAGACGGGAATGCGACGACGTGGAAACAGGGTCAAAGGGGGTGAGTGGCTTCCACCGAGAGGGTGAAACTCTGCGCCAGCACCCTTCGAGCTCGCGAGCCTTCCACGTTCAACACTCCTCTACAAGAGCGGCTAATTTTGATTCACGATTGCCCTCCCAGAGCTACACACCCCGCTACACCCGTTCATCAACCTAGCTAGCCAAGGCCTCCTTCCTGCTTCCATACCAATACACCAACCCTAATTTTCTCACCGCCTCCCACGTGTCCGGCTAATACTTCAATGGAAAAATTGAAAAATTTTCAAACTATAAAATGTACTTCTTTAGTTCTCTGGTAAAACTTCATCTCGTATGCAAAGTTCCTATCTATAAATCAAAAAGGACTAAAGCTTTCATCAAATCAACCTAATAACACCATTACCTTTCTGCCGTCGGGATTAAAGGAGACCCCCGAAAGCAGAATAAAATCGTTTTGCAGCAGGAGCCGGTTGCTGTTCGAACAATCACGCACAATCACGGCCAGTATTATAAAACTGTCCCCGAGGGAATTCTCGATGCTGGTGGTGTTGGATTGGGGCTCGATCGAGAGGGTTGGTCAGGAGGGAGCTGGTTATGGAGAGACTCTGTTCGAGATTTCGCCATCTCGAGAAGGGGGTCGAAAATGTCGGTACGTGAGTTCAACGTTACCGTAGCCTCGTATGGCTATCGCGTGAAAGTCGCTGGGGTGCAATGGCTTTTCAACGGTGAAGAGAAGGGGTGTAGGGTGGTAAACTGGACGGCACGTATCTTTACGGGTCATAAAGGTTGGCCCTCGTTACGGAGGAAGCTGTACCGCACCCGTGGCCACCAAGGCACCACACCACCGACCCTCTTCCTCGCTTTTAACCCCCTACCCCGTTTATACCTATCTATATCTATAACCTTCTCGATCGTCCAGCTGCCACGGATGCGTTCGTGATGGTCATCAATTCCATGACATCGTAAAAGGAAATTGCCAAAAAAAAAAAAAAGACAAAAAGAATGAACATTATGGAAGTGTAAAGGATCGATGGAAAAGGTTGGATTAAACAAACGAGGAAACACAGGGTCGTTATTAATGTCACACGATACATTTGGTACACGAAATGCAGTGAAATTCGAACATTCAGAAATCCGATGCTATGCTCTATTTACACTTTAGAATTCTATGTGTAATCATCTCAAGTATCGACCAGCAGCTTCCTGTTTCCCAGCTATTTATTGGAAAATCGTGTTGAACGATTCGTCGATTTGTTTCAATCGTCTCGTTACATATTCTATTTATACAGGTAGCAAGTGAAGAGCGGGAATGAAGCTCGGAACAAAGCTTAATCAGAGACTGAACGAAAACCGGTACCTAATTGTGATTGTAATTTTTCTCTTTTGCGAATCGAAGTAAAAGAGATAAATAAAATTCTGCCGGTCCCTTCGTGAGGTGACCAAAGTGGGGCCCCATTGCCACAGAGTAATGAAGATGTCTCGTCACGGGTGTCCTCTGTACACGGGGCCCGTCGGTCCCGTGGTAGACCACGGGGGGTGCGCGTAAACGATGTCACGGATGTCATTGTACCATTGCCAGAACTGATCCCCCGTGGAATCGAAAGAGAAACTTGGACCTTTCGTTGGCTTCGCTTTAAATAGGCCGGATATAATAATTGGGCCTGAACCATTCACGCGATTCTATTCGCGGTACCCCCCATAATGCCCATCGAGTGCTCGTATGGTGAAAAGGGAGAGCACAAAGATACTCGTCATAGAATGACTGGGAAGTTACAATCATTGAAAATATAAATAATACAAAAGATAATGCCGTAAAAAACATAAACAGTTCAAAAATTACTCTGAACTCGAAGAAAAAAGAGATGCTTCCCTAAAATTAAAACCCTTCTCCGAGAGTTCCATTGAAAAAACAAGCTTCCCCTCGTGGTATCGTTTTCATGGGTGGAAGTTTAATCCAAAAGCTCGCGAACGTTTCTCGAGTCTAGCGATGAAAGCGTCGCACGGCCATCAATGAAACGAGAATCCGACCCATGGAGTGCCAAAATATTGAGAGGCACTCCGCCAAAGGTTTCTCCACGACACGAAGAAGACGCAAAGCAGAAAGGGCCTCGCGATAAATGCCCCTCTGGCTAACCTCATTTTTCATCTGCCCCATAAAAATCGTCGTCCATGTATCTCCGGATGAATGGGGGCCCCCGGTAAGCTTTCAACGTAGCCGGTCCCCGAAGAGGATCCCCGAAGTCTGTGCATTGGCGGGCGCAGAAGCGTGACATTATATTTATGTTGTCACCCTGCGTGTCAACGGTGTGGCTACCGTAGCTCGTGAGAGAGCGAGATACGAAAGAAAGGTGCAGAGTGAAGAAAAAAAAAAAAAAAAGGGGGCAAAGACGAAAAAGAGAAGGGAAAAGGGGCCGTAACGGGGGGCCTGACTAGGTTTTGTCTGTAAACACCGCGTCCCGATCGCTACTCATGCCGTGGCCAGGACAATGGACGATCCTTTCGTTACCTGTTTACGAAAGCCAGTCATCGTAAAACCATCGAATCAAATCGCGAAGAAAGACATCAAACGCGTTCTTTCAAATTTCTCTTCCTTGCCAAGTTGTCTTTCTTTTTCGACATCAACAAATCACTCGAATTAGATCTACTCGCGTTAAGGATATTAAGAAGCTTAATTGCGCGAGCTTTTAGAGTGGGATTCTGGATGATTGGTAAGGGTAGCAGGGGGTGCCTTCCGGCTAGAAGCGCGTGCCCTTGTTGTCGCAACTGTCAGGAACAGTTGGCCCTACGGTGCCCTCGAAGATGTCTGCGAATCGTTAGGCAGACTGGTAGTGGCGACAGCATCCGGTTTTCGAACAACTAACGACCATTTTTCCAGACTTGAACAGGTTCAAATTCCAGCGAGAATTGTCGCATCCAATTACCAAAGATCTCTAATGAAAGCCAACTAAACGAAGACTCGGCTATAGATGAAAAATTGCAGAAAATTCAAAAGTTTCTGCCTGTGAAGGAGACAAAAAAAACCTGCCACGCATCTGAATGGCCAGAAAGAAACGAAACACAGCTGGAGGGATAGATGGATCTTGATAAAGAGGATGGAACGGTGGTGGGTGGATGAAGTTGAAGCAAGACTCGGCGTGTGCAAGGCCAGGGAAGGTCGTACAACAATCGATAACTGTCGTTCGTAGACAGGCATAAGTCGTACGTGCTCGTGAACGTTTCTACAGAGAGAGGAAAGGGGAGGAACGTGTGCCAGTTTCCATCAGGAGTGACGGTAACAGCTGTTGCACGTCCATTTCGAAAGCTTTCTCCGTGGAAAGTCCGGGGGGGAAATTGGCGGCGCTGATCGTCGCGTAAACACAACCTAAAAGCAGTAGATCACTCGATTCCTCTTCGGGTACCGTTTCTAAACACAGCCTCGCGGATACGCACGGACAACTCTATATATACGAGCAGAGCCAGCTTGAAATAGAGCTGTCGATCGATTAGAACTTTTTCCCAACGCGTACGTGACACCCATAAAAAGCGTATCTCTTCATCCGACGGAATTGAATTCATCCTGCCTTACTTCGTTATAGTCAAAAGCCATTCGCGTGTCTACCGACGAACGAACAGGAAAAAAAAAAAAAAAAAAAATATCGATCCATCTTCTCGTACACAAGATTACATTCTGTTTCGGTTTCCAAGAGAAACACTGTTCTGTCGCTTTTTATTTACGCTGAGAATTTGAGTCTCTTATTTAACAGTCAAAAAAATGGAACGAGAACAAGTAGATAGGGGTAGTCCCTTTTCTTCCCTGTAGAACATTCGCTCGTCATAAAGACACTTCGCGAGAAAGGGTTATTGTGATAGTCGCCTGTTCCTTTCTTTACCCAGGAAAAAGGAACACGAAGATCCGGAAGATACATAAATTTCATGAAACACTAACCCCTTACCACTTTGTAATTTTTTGAACAAACATCTCCCGGCATGTTTACTTTTTTTCTACATACAGTTCTTTAACCTATGGTAAAATGATATCTAAGGAAAATAATGGCCGTAGAAAATCATCGATCCGAATAAGGGTTGAAAGAAGAGAAGAAATGAAAATTTGCATTCGAACAGCCGTTTCGAAATACCGCAAACGTTCGTCACGGAATAGAAACACAGAATGGAAGAGAGCAAAAGTTGCCCAACGAATCGTTTATAAATAATTCGTGGATCCGTTGCTCGCGTTACATTCGGCTCGGAAATCACGCGCGAAACTTTCCCTCGCACCGTGCTGAAACGCGAAAATTGATTCAAGTACTGTATACTCGTCGAGAGGATCGCGTAGGTACGCCCGGGTGTCGTTTCATATTCGAGTCGAAGAGTAGCCAGGTTCGCGAGATTGCAAGAGAAAGAAGAGAGAGAAGGGAGAGAAGGGCGAGGGAGGAAAGGGCTGCCGGTAAATTTTCATTAAAATACAAGGGAAACATTTCTACCCCGTTAGACGGTGTATTTGCATGAATTAGAATTTCAAGTGTCGCGCACGCGAATCGAACGGCCAATTCTGTGTGTGGGTGCTTTGGAAGAAAAAGGAAATCGACGTGTTCGTTCACGTGCAAACGAAAATAACAAAATGAAAAGGAAGAAGAGAAAAAAAAAAAAGAAAGAAAAATTGCAAAAGCAAAGGTGAGAGAGGTTGGATATTATTTTTCAAACGAGTGATATACGATCGAGGCGACGATTTACGGAGTTACAACAGCGACGATTGCTTCGTTTTTACAGTCCGGAAAAAAGACAACTCGCCCCCTTTTTTTTTTTTTGCTTTCCTTGCAACTTTTTTTTTCTGCTGCTCTTTTCCAACTGCCTTTTTTTTCTGCTACGCGGAAAAGCAACGCGTCGGGCTTCTTTTTCCGCGCGCACTCTTCGCGCTTCTTCTTCTTCGAACCCGAAGGCTCGATTTTTTTTGGCATGCGAAAAAAAAAAAAAAAAAAAACAGGGGGTGGAGAAAACAGTAGGAGCCGCGAGGGGAAACGAAGCAGCCGCAGGACAATAGGCCTCGGTGCACCGACGATGCTTTTAATTTTTATGGGATTCTACGGGTTAAAAAGGCGTTGCGTACACCGTAGACGTTTTCCTTCTAACCCGGCCACCACTGTGGCCGTTTTATTAGGATCGTAAAGTCCCTGCGGCCGCTTTGGAAAGAAATTTTTTTTCTCTCTAGGATGACGACCAGCACTTCTGCTCGCACGAGGAACCGAAACGACCACCAGGATGACCGACACGCGCGGAGGCGAGGAAAAACTCGCGGAAAAACTCGCGGTTGAAAGGAGCCGCCGCAAAAACTGCATAATGAACTGTCTCCACCGCGATTTCTTCACGGAGACCCTGATCAACGAGTAATTATCGATGCTTTGCGACAGCTTTCAAGAACCTGAACTCGCTTTTTCTATTCCCCTTTTTGTCCAGTGATCATCGCTGTGGTGTTAAAAAATACTTCCAAAAGGATAAGGGTTAGAATGTTTCCTGAACGGATAAAAAAACTCGAAAGAAAAAATGTTCTTCTTCCTACGAAAACACATTTCCTTATTCTTTATCTATTTTGATCAAAGTCGTTTCGGAAAATTTCACCTAACGGGAAGACAAAATGTTGAGTTTCCGTTCTATCGTTTGAAAGGCCCATAGCGAAAACGTGCACGGATCGTTCCTGATCCCTTTGCCATACGGAGATTGTTAAATTACGGTGAATCCGGCCAGCTTAAACGCGCCTCTGTATTTTGCCGTTGCGGAAACGACATTATTGGGCGATACGATCGCGCGTGCTTTTAGCAGCTTTCAGATTTTATCGGTGTTGCGCATGAATAGTCGATTTTTTTCGGCTCGCGAGACCAGAGAGCAACTGATTCGCAAACCAGAGCGAAATACCGGGGGATAGCATACCGATCGGTCAGTCAGCTCGTCTGTGTTTCCTCTGTTTTCCACCGTTTCAATATCAACATTGGGGTGTCTCGTTCCATCCGCTCTGATCTTTCGAAAGACGCGATAACCGTGTTTCAACGGCAAAAGAAAGAAAAAAAAAAAAAAAAAAAAAAAGAGGTACTTTTCAATTTCCAATCGATTTCTACGCTTCTTCGATCAATTAAAATTTCTCTTTGTTTTTTCTAATCATTTCAGAATACTGTTCTCACAAAAGAAACTACTCGACGCGTTTCTGTAACTAACATGGGGCAGCGGTAGAGGGAAATTTTCAAAGGACTCTCGAGATAAAAAATGAAAAGAAAAGGAAAGAAGCCGAGTGGGTAAATCCGCGTAATTACCCTCGATTTCGAGGGCCGTTGCGAAATTCAGTGGTTCCGGCTGGGTTGCGTTCACCGAGAAGGAAAAAAAGATATCCGAAGATAGGATCTGAAAGCTGCTGAAAACGCGCGATCGTATCGGTTGGTAATGCGATCCGCCAGAGACATAATGGCGCAAAACCTGGCCCCTATTGTTGGCCCCAGGTTTCGCCGGGGCATTCCTTGGCCAGGATGTGCTCTCGATTTTCTTGGATATCGTATAATGTGGCTTATGCCACCGTACCAAGGGGAATAGAAAAAGGAGAATACTAGGTAGGGGCGAGATGATCCAACGATTTAGTAAGAACGAAAGAAAGGAAAAAGTCTGTCCTTCTAGTTATGGAATAAGTAGGTGTGTCTCTATCGTTGAAATCTATTATTTGTTTGGGACGGGGTACATTCGAGCCGGACGTAATAATTCTCTTTTATCCTGATACATATCGCATCGGCTACAGAGGAAATATGATAATTATAAACGAAACTTTTCAGTGGTAGAATTCGATCTACCAATTTAATTGATAAATCGAAATTATCTGTAATCAAATAACGATGAACTTTTGAGGGAATTTGAATAACATTCTGAATGATAGCGGAAGCGACATCACGAGTCGAATCGGGAACTATTACCCAAAGTTTCTTTCTCACTGGACAATGCATCGTTGGAGGTAAAAGTATTAAGGTATTGTACCGGCAGTGTTTTTTGTTCCAAAGTCCTGGGACCAAGGTTTTAGCACCACCTAGTGGGACCTGAACGAACCATTCTCGACAGTGAATACAGAGGTTCGTCGATAAAGTAGGAACTGGTTGCACAGTTGTGCAAAAGGATACCAAACGCCAGGTGGCGGATGGTATTCGTATGGTGGCACCGGTATAGGTAAGAGATGGCGGGAATGGGTAAAACGACTGAGAAAGGACTTATCAAATTAACGGTCGAAAGCAAGATAGACGTAGCGAGGGGCAACAGAACACCATCGAAGTACCTTCGAACGTTCAGCAGTATATCGCTGGACGCCATACTAGGCACGCGTGCTACCATTACTCCAGTCAAAATATGTTAGATCTATGATCCTCGCGATTCGTTATTGTACAAAGTATCTCTTACATAAGAAGTGGCAAGAAGTTTGATCTCTGGCAGGGATGTTTTGCCATCGATAACGAGACTTCTCAAAGGGATCAAAAGAAACAGAATGACGTCCGAGCGGTTTCACAAGTGAGTTTCCCTTTGTATCAGCAACAGACTTTGTACATACTTTGAAGTTCTTGTATTCTTATTTCTCTGCGAATGGTATGCGTTTGTACGCTGCAACGAGATATCTATCGGAAAGCAAGGAAGCAGAGAAATGTCGCGTAGTCAGGTTCTTGCCTCTGACCAGAACGAAAAAATGACATGCCTGGTTAACCATGAGAATGAAATATTGCACTTCGAAATCCTGATCAGGGGAATTTGTTGTTTCGTCATCCAATTATTAGATTCGTATCAATTGTTTTCAATTTATAATATAAATTAATATATTTCTATTTCCTATCGGTCGTAGGTGTATCGGTTCAGTGAAATAATGTACAAAGCCTTGTTGCAGAAATGAAAAAGAATGTTTGAAATTCCTACTCACCTAGAACACTTCAATAACTATGATCGTCGCGTGCGGAATTTATGCATGAGAACACCCTCGCTTGTATTCGATTCACCATGAAGATTTATCAGCCAATCCATTTCCATGGGTACCAGGTGTAGAGGATGTATTATCTTGAATAAACAAAAATTTTCATTTTACATTTGCAAAAAATTTTCAGTAAGCTATTTTTATATTAATATAAACATGTGTACGTAAATGAAATGTTATCACAATTGTTAGCACCTGAATAAACATTCTATGGGCTGTTATCAAGACCGTAATTATAACGTGAAAATGGCCTTAATTAGAATCCTAACGAAGGTACCGTTTTTCTTTGAAACACTTATGCTTTCGTTCAAACAGAACCAATACGCGTAGAAGAAAGATGTCAAAACGCATTCACGGTAAATGATTCGTAACGCAGAGAAAATTATCATGCTAAGAAATCGTTAAAACATTATACGTACAACTTTCTCTAACACCCTTGCTCTCTTCTTCCATGTAGAATTTTCCAGTCCTTCTTTGTAGAATGTGTCCAATTCGACCATTTCTTCGACAATCTGAAATCAAACAAAAGCTAATCGATGAATTTATTATTGATATACAAGTATTTTCTTATATAACCTTGTTTTAATTAGAGAAAAAACTAATTAAAAGAAAAAAGTACACGCGAAGGAGAAAACTATCAGGCGCGATGTCACATTATCGTGGCATCAGGCACGCAATATAATTTCATAATTAGAGTTAGAAAATTATTAATACGCGTGATAATTATTCAGAAGGAATTGTTTCTCAGAGCTGCACGCGATGGCGTCTTGGACATCCTGAAAGAAGCAACAAAAAAGGATTGTAACGCACGAGATGATGGAGGAATGACCCCCACATTATGGGCAGCCTTTGAAGGTCATATAGATGCTCTGAGACTGCTGGTCGCCAGAGGGTATGCTTGCAAAACCATTTACTTATAAACACATTCGAGAAACGTTCGGGTTAACCATAGTATACATTACGCACTCCTTTAATGCATTATTCTTTCAAACTAACTTTACACTTAATCGAAATTTTATTCATACATGAATATCGTGGCTTAGTAATATGTATAGTATAGATTTATCAATTAATTGATTACAATACCTGATAAAAAACAGAAATCTTGTGCACTTAACGATGTGACGCTTGTCAGTATTATAAACGCCGAATAACGAACATTCGCACTTCCGGTTACATTCCAGTTCCGCCGTTCACGCGCCAAAATTGTTGCAGTTTTCTACGATGGAACTAAATGCTCGCGCATGCGCATAACCTGTAATTTGAAAGTACAATTTTGTTGCCTAACCTGTTAATAAATTATAAAATCTATAAAATATTCACACACAAACCACCTCTGTTCGTTAAATTTCCTAACTCAATTGATCATAACTCTTTTACGAGTAATTTGAGGTGTACCTTTTTTAACCTTGAAAAGTCAACATGCAAATTAAACACGAGGTCGTCGTGGTTAGTGAACACGAAACTTTTAACAATCACGTACAATGACATTCACAAAACATCGAAAAAGTTACCTTCAACTATGCAACATTGATTGCTTTTAACATGCACGTGACGATTTATATTGTGTTAAATGGGTGCACTGTTTCTTTTTCCTTCACACGTGTAAATGCACAAAAGTTCGTATTAACCGGTGACAGATGTACGAAAGCGGAAATATACGCTATAATCTGGCATCTATTGACCCCACGAACGGAAATTGCGGCCAAGCGAATAGTGATGAAAAACAATCGAATACGAACAGAACAGAGCACAGCACGGGGGAACGGGAAGAAACGGAACGGGGGAACAGGGAATTGCTATTCACGTAGTCGTCCCATCGCGTGTCATTATATTGATATTTTGTAGCAAAAACATATACTTACGTGATCCACGAGCATCGATTCAACGACTTCTTTACCAAACTGAAGAAATGAAATGCAAAAGAACTCCGATAATACATTATACTATGATATAATTCTGATAATACGACCACTGACACCACCGTTCCATTACCCGCGTACTCAAGTACTACGTAAAGCGGAAACGATTCGAAACTATTAAATTAGTCAAATTCGCGATCATATTAATTTTTAAATAAATTATAAATATATTTAATCCTATATAATAATAATAATAATATAGGCTTAGATTATTACATCTGTAAATTTAACCTCGTTCGATCTTTTTTTAAATATTTTTCGAATTACAACCTGTATCGAAACCACGTGCCGGCTACATGTTTCATAGAATCAGTGATAGTCTGTAAAGAGCCGACATAAAAGCTGAAAGACCACACGTGCCCTATTGTGAAAAAGATCGAATGTCGTTCAACTGGCTTCAGTGTGGTCAGCAAACGATAGAAATTCAATATAAGACCTGCTATCCTTCCGGAACTTTGTTCCGCTCGTGTGTCATCGCGTGACAGGATGCTATAAGGTGTAGGACCCATTTATTCCCTTCATTCGTTTCTATAGAACAATTCCATTTATCTCGCACGCTCATAGTAATACCAATAATAAAAGATTGCTTGTAAAAATAATACTATTTCAAGATTTGTCAACTGTCGATGTACGAACACGCATACCGAACAGGAAACAGCAGATGTATAATCATGCATTTTTTAACGATTTTCTCCGTAGGGGAGACCCCGACAAAACCGATTACTTCGGTAACACAGCCCTACACCTAGCATCGGCAAGGGGTCACGAATATTGTGTCCGGTTCCTCGTTAAATTCGGCTGTAATATTTGGTCTCTAGACATCGATAGACATTCGGCTAGAGATTTAGCAGCTATAAACGGAAGAGAGATGACACTCCAATTTTTAGATTTCGTTCAGGCCGACCAAGAGCTGAACAATCGTAAAAAAAGTCGAATACTTCGGGAGAAGGCTGAGAAAGATGCTGAGAAAAGGTATTTGTTCATTTAATAATCATGCCAGAAAAATGTTGATTTATTTATTTATTTATTTATTTATTTTACAAATAGATTGAAAGAATATATGAAGAAACAAAAGACTGCTGAAATTAGAGCGGAGAAGGAACAAAAGAAGCTATCTAAGGATCGCACGAAATTGGATCCAACCATGGCAAACGAAGTCGGTATTCTACCTCAGAAATCAAGTATATTAACCTTCAAGGGTCGATTAAAACCTTCGCCAACGTTCAGCGATATTGTCGGTACCACTGCAAAAAAACACGGCAGCGCAGTCTGTAGAAAAGCTTTAGCAAAAAAGGCCGTGGATGACTTCAAGGTTGTAGAGGTAGAATGAATATTGGGAATTGCATGCTCTTGCTTTTCAATACCAATCAATTTGGAGAAGAATTAATTTCATATTACTTATATTACTCCCAGGTAGAGGTGAATGGAAAGAAATCAATCCGTAGCCTGACTGGTCTTCGCAGAGACTCAGAAATAATCTATGTAGGAACGTACGAAACTCAAGCACAACAAATAGGAAGGAGAGGAAGAATCTCAGACGTTTGGGGTACTCTGAACAAAGCACAGAGTACACCTGATCTTTTGGGTGACCGTATTTTTGACGACGATGACGAGCAAAATGATAACAGGGAAGAGTTAAACGGTATAAGGGAGACATTCTTGCAAGAACCTGCAAGTATTTTCAATAGACCCGGTTTTGGATCAGTAGCTTTTCGAAGAGCGGTAGGTTCACACACTTTGTGCTTTCAACGCAATTATTTGAAAAAGAAGATGTAAAGAAATTTATTGCAATCATTATACTATTTCTAAGAATAGCTGTAGCCATACCTTCCTATTTTGTAACTTCAGATAACAACTACCTTCGACAACATGCCGGTCTCGCAAATAGAGGCACATGAACAAAACGGTAACTCTTGCGTGAATGGCTCTGTAAATGGATCTGTAAATGGTTATAGAACCAGCTCGAATGGGCACAACGAGGAAATCAGTATAGGAAGCGCAGGTAGCTTAGCTCGTAGGCAAAGTTTATGGGAAGATGACTTGCTTTCAGGTAAAAATGGTTTTATTACTAATTAATAATACCATTGTCCTCGAAATTTTTCATTTAATTTCAATATATATTTTTTAATTAAATTAGAATCGTGCGTAAAAATGATTACAGAAGAAGAAACAGACGAGGAGTGGACACCATTGCAAAGATTCTTAGTTGCCAACAATCTTTCGTCGATACATCCAATTTTAGAATCGGAACAAATTGATCTGGAAGCTTTAATGTTGCTCACTGAAGCTGACCTCGCGGCTCTCAAGCTTCCGCTTGGGCCCAAAAGGAAATTAATGAATGCAATAGCGAACCGAAAAAGAGCATTAGATGCTCCTGAAAACGTTATCAAAGATAGTAAGCTGTAAACCTTTAATTTAAAGGAAAAAGTAATGTTAATCTTGCCTGTTAAAGTGCCTTAGGAACTACTAAAAAGAAATGGTTTAAGAAAAATTTCTTGCCATTTTACGTTTTTAATATATAGAATACTATAATAAAGAAACATCTTTCACTTCCGTAAATCATCGCCATAAACATGTAAATCATTAATGTAATACGTAAAAGGCGTGTTGAAATAATAATCACCTGATTGTGTAAAATTTGAATTAGCCTTAATTCTTGTACTATCTATGGTGCCTTAGTAAAATGTACTTCGTTAAGTCTATGAATGTAAATGAAAGTGTAAATGCCTTTTGTTATCGTTTATGCGAGTACAATCAATCTTATACAAAATGTACAAAAAATCGAACGGGTGAAAATAAAATATGTAAATACTGCAATATATATATCTAACACCATTCATTGCTATCTGTTTCTAGATATAAGGAAAAAAGATGAATTTTTTGTATTTATAATTTTATTTGTAAATGATTATCTTACAAATAAGAGACGCAAAAATATACAAGCTTCTTATGTTCGCAAAAAATAACAGCACCATTTCTCGCCTTGCCGTGAACACATATTTTTTTTTTCTTATGCTGTATCACGGCTGTTCTCTGTTCGTGCAAGTAGAATTGTGATGATACCTTTGTTCACCACGAATGTATACCACTTTGCGATTAATGTGCATCAGAATGAAAAAAAAAAGGCTCGTAGAAAATTCATTTTTTGGTGCCCCCTGTTCGTGACACGTACGCTCTGTTACCTCTATGCACCTGTGTAATCAGCGTACGAACTACCATTACTGTGAAAAAGATATGATACAGAAGTGTGATTCTTCGCGATCTCACCTATTAAGGCTGCACGATTAATCGATTAATTTAACTTACCCAATTATTCTAATTATCAATTCATTAATAGAAAAACGAATGAATTTAATTTTACTATTAATCGATTAATTTCAGAGCCCTATATAAGCTACGTTTTCTTCTTCTTCTTCTTTTGTCTTTTCTTTATATCTATACACAACAGTCGATTTTGCATAATGGCAACTTCATTGGAAATTCTTTTTGGCAGCAAGTACAAATTACATATTTTCTTTAACAAAAGACGGAAGTCATTGGGTTCGCAAAAAATTACTTCTAACGTAAAGTCTAATTTCCTTATGAAAGACACTATCTATCCGTTATTCTTTCCTATATAAATTTACAATGTTAAAACGTTCACTTACAAAAGGTACCACTTTACAGAATTTTTTTCATTCATAAACAATTGAAACTTTCAACAAAATCGTTTATTTTTTAAACTGTGCAATGGTATGTTTGGTTCTAATTATTGTATAAACGTAAAAGAAACGAATTATTCTTTTAATGTAAAGATATAATATGTATAGATCATTAACAAGATTCACTCCCCATGAGAAAGGGAAAGCTCTCTCTTATATTGGTGGGAAAATTCTATTTGCTGACCTCGAAATGTCGTCTTACATGGATGGGATTCTTGCATTATTCAAGATAAGAAAATACCAATATTGTACCAGCAAAATCTTGCTGAGTATTCAAACAAGTAACACCTTATTAATTCAATGTAAATAAATATCGATTCTCTTCTTACGACCAAATAAATGAATTGTTCGAGTGTAATCCTTTCTTTTTTTTATACACAAAGTGAAAGTAAAGACGACGACAGTATCTGCAAAAAATTACTCAATATTTCATGAGCTATTATTTTCTTATCAATAAAGTATCTCTATGTATGGCATCTTCAGCGTGTTATTTTCTTCTATGTGTGTGTTTGAATCAGAGTTACCTTTGTACGAAAGATTCGCCAATAATCCATACGATGAAAACGTGGAAAAAAGTCGGAAAAACAAAAATAAATGTTTTCTAATAAAACGAATCGTGTAATTACACATCTCACGTACAAAGGTACTCCTTAAATACTATACATTTTGTTGAATTGGAACTTTCAGAACTTTCACAAACATGACCCTGCGTTACCAAACTGGTCAGGAAAGTGGAGTCAAATAGAGTCCTTGGAGTTTTATTAACTGCCGATCATATGATAAATATTATTAAAGCTATCGCATAGTTTGTTAATAATAATTAATAATAATAATTAATAATAATAATATTAGCAATATCCCTATGGCTATTGTGTATCGTTACGTATGTACGCTATATTTACAACTGAACAACAATTTTCACTCATTTCCGGAACGGTGCTCAAAACAATATCGACAAGAAGGAAACAAAGAGAAACGAGTCCGGCTTCTAAATGATTTCTGAAGAACGAATTCGAAGGAAATTCAGAACGTAAATAGGAAAATCGAATTTCTAGTCTTAAATATCAAATATGTATCAACAGGTAGTTATACACTATCGAATGAAAGATATTTCCAAATTTCCCGTCTATGTACGATGTTCTTCAGAACTCGGATAGAAGCAGTACGAGGCACAACGCTAAAACAATATACATTTACAGGGATCCTAATAACAGAGCGATTAATCACTCCAGTACAAGTCTTTGAACGTAACGCTTCTTATAAAATATTCACATTATATGTGCATATGTATATGTATATGCATATGTAGCAAAGAGCTGCCGTGTCTTCCCGACAATGGCTACATCTAAGACGGAAAGCTCGCTTATCGATTAAATCCGCATTAGGAGTTGTGGAAAAGTAGATCCCTTTACATTGCACTGTCTTGATGCAGACTTTGTCCGAGACACATGTCAGTAGTACTGCTTCAACCCTTTGCTCGTAACATACATATAATAGGTCAAAAAAAGAATAAACCAACTTTACACTATGATGATGATGATCTTTCATCCGCTATCCAATTGACATCGAATACAAAGAGACTGGAAGAAACTTCACGAGACCCTTCCCACCGAACCGTTCATTTCATTCGTCGCTCCTCCAGTTTGATGTAAGCATTGCTTATCCTAACTTGTTTAAGATTTACAACTACACGAAATCTATTGTAAGAATTTTATCAATTAATTACACAATTATGAGCACCCGCGACGCGTGTGGAAAGAATAAGACGCGATTATATCTTTTTTCTTCTTTTCTTTAACATCTTCTTTTGAGAACCTTGCTTCCAAGCTCGATCTCGTGTTACTTAAAGACTTTCATGTGGGTATCATAACACGAAAATATAGTAGCGAACAAACAATTTTCGAATCCTTCCAAGGGATCGCACGCGAAAACGTATTAAGCAAAAAAGAAAAGAAAACACGTAAAATTACAAAACGAAAGGATTGCAGAAACAATTAAATATATTATCCAAAAGACAATTTTATGATTACTCTATACACAGAGCTCATACAACAGAAAATATATAGATCCCTTGTTCACAATTAGTCGATAGAATGTATAGAGTTACAGAAACCAAACAATTTATCGATATATCTTTGCCTTGCTTTTACTTGTGTGTTCTTATTATTCGTTCCTTTAATCTTTCATGACCCGTTTATTACCAACAAAAGCTGTATAAAATGATCTTTTTATTGATTAAAAGTGTCCAAATTGTATTATCTATGATCACTTAATAATCGTAACAATATTGTAATTAGAGGGCTAAGCGATCCTTTGGATTCTGAAAGAATATTCTACAGTCATCCTCTCCCCGTCCCCTTTCTGTCACAAAATTACAATCGTAGACAGTAATATAATTATAAAATATTAAATCACCAATTCATCACTTGTCAAACATCTCACTTGAATATAGTACAGTACACTATAAAGTGACTGGATAATATCACGAAGTATTTAGCTGCTAATTTTTAACATACACATCAATTATGTGTAAAGCACGTTAGTTGCAGCTTTTAATATTTCATAGTATATTTGGCAAGGTTCATACTCTTGGTTTGTAGATCAGTTAACTGATAATCACGTACACATTTCTGCACATAAAACAATGACATTCACTCTGTATGGGCACTTTGAATGGTATCTTGAAACACGTTTGTATTATCTCAATGCTCATAAATAAATAAATAATTTTAAAATAAATCCTAGTACACATAATGGAGACTGTTATACATCGTAACTTTAAATATCATCAAGTTGCAACTTTTTTCATTTTTTTTTTTCATTCGAATAATAATACAGTAATTTCAATAGCACAAGTATTTTTCATAATCCTCTTATTATTTTACGTGTCAGAATCAGCACTACTGTGAAACTTGAAAAATAATAACAGGTAAACTTGACGGACAGTATAAAATATTCGAAATATACGAACGTGTTTTCTATGGCAATGCAAACGACTGCCTTCTTTCTGAAGTGATTATGTTTAACCGAGAATTATATAGGGGAGTTGAACCGTTAATAATTAATTTATCAATCGATTAATTAATGGGGAGCAAGGGAGTAAGGCTACTTTACACATCGCGCGCCGTTACATGAAACGCGAACGTTTGTGCGTGGGAGATCCCATATCCACGTCATGCGAAGCAGGCCGTTTGTGATGTCGAGCAAATTCGCTAGTAATAAAAGCCGACAATTCGGCTTGTCTTCCAGTACGCCGGGACATCGGTGAACCTATCCAATTATTAGAATAATCCGATTACATAAACGCTGTGATTTTATCAAGTAAATTCTGTATCACTGCAACTATAGATATGTTATCCAATAAATGGCTAATTTTAATAAATTATTAAATCGAACGAATTCTTACCGGACAATGCAATCGCTTCTCTAAATGTGTGTAATTCAGGATCAGGATCAGTGGTAGATAATGGTGTTGGTGCAACAACCATATTTGGTGTGGAACTTTCAGATGGAGGTGAACCACATACCATCATCCTTGGTTTAGGGGAACTCCTACAAATTTATTCATAAATATATCATATCTATACTATCTGCATTAATAAAACAAACCTTATGTAAAGTTACTGTTGCATTAATGCCTATAGAATAGAATCCTTAAATGTTTACATATTAAAATACAGTAGAATAGCTATAGAATGTTTTAGCAGTTTCTGCAATTATAGCTTACAAGGACTACTGAAAATAAATTGATTTATTTAATAGATAGATCAACATAATATTTACCTATGCGAATGTGGTCTAGGTGGTGGTGGTTTTCCAGCAAGATATGCTAAAAGATCTTCCCTTCGAATCATACGCCTTTTTTTCCTAGCCCAGTTCATTATTTCTTTACTACGCTTTTGTCTACCCATTTCCACGCTTAAGTCACTGCATCGACGTATGTTATCCATTGAATCTGTTGAAATATTTGTTACAATTAAGAACAAAAACATCTTATTTGTTCTTATTTTAGACTAAAAATCATTAAGATGAAGAATATATATTTATAAACAAACATCATGATCCAGAAATACTAGGTATTTACAATAGTTGAGAAACATTAAACAATCTAATCCTTTTATCCATAAACAGAGATGATATAATCATTTAGGAATGACAGATATTTACAACTCTTTTCTATAAATATTCGTAATAGTCTTAAAAGTTCGCATCAATTAACAGCTGACCTTCAGCATTGGTCAGCTGTGCAAAGCGTTCTGACGCACATATACGTACACAGGTTTATTAGTGTGTGCGTGTGAGTGAATGACGGATGTACAAAGGGACAACCAAACAGTATAGGTAAGGATAGAGAAGGGGATAGAAAAAACGACGGAGTAAAGATGATTGCGACGAAAGAGAGAAGGAAGTTTCATTCTGGTCAGACTGTTGACAAGAAAGATTGGGGAAGTGTATTACCTTTGTACAACGACGTGACGGTACCCGCGGCAGTCTGGAAGGGTAGCCATAGAGAGACACCCTGCGTACGATCTGTAAAAGAGGAAAGCCGAAAGGAACTGGTTACACGATCAGATCGATATGCACATGCGGTGAAAAAAGGGAATCGAAGCGAACGAGGAGCGAGAAACTGGCTGGCATATCCTCTCTGATACGTCGCACAAAATGGATGTCACGCAAAATGGTAACTACAGCGAATGCGAGACGTCTCGCTGCTCGTTATCCTCGAGGCTCGTTTTACGGACGAGTTAAAGGAGGTTGCGAACGACGAACAGTGCCTATCGCCGAATTAGCTCGCCTTTGTACAGCTGGGCGATGGCCGACGCCGTCGTTTGAAAGCTCGACCACATCTGCTGGGAATAGAGTTCCTTTTCGTTGTGCAGTTGCGTTTCGTAATCCGGCTCCGATTCCAATGCTTCGACGCACTGTTGCTCCCAGTTGCTGTACCAAAGATCCATTATAGGATCCTCTTCGCTTCGATCTTCGCTCATGGCTTGTCGTCCTCGAGACTCGTTGCGAGCTCACGCCTCGCCCACCCACACGCACTCACGACACGCACCGAAATCGCGTAACCCTAAACTCCGTCGTATCTTCTCGTTCTTTGTATCTCTCTTACCGCACCTCCTTTGCCGTTCGTCTACTTCACGTAATGCGAACACGGTAGCTCGCATGCATGCCACCCGAGTCAGGTCGCGGCCATTACGATGTGCCTCGCTCGAGGATCGCACGAGTCTTACGCGCAACGAAACACGAAATACCAATTGGCAGGTACGAAGAACGAACTAACCCAACGATACATAATCCCTTTTCACCCCTCGACTGCGACGACGCACTGATTCCTGGGAGTCGATGCTGCACTCTGTTCATCGAAATACAGAAATCCTTAATGCGCAATATGCACCCAACTCTCTGCCGCCGATAAAGAAGGGATAGAGTATAGGGCGCCACCGGTTCACCTACTTCCAGAAAAGTGACCGATATGTCGTTGAGTAGTTTCCGTCGTTTTTGCATAGATCGCACGGGCATCGAATTTCTGATTAGTTCACCAACCTGAGGGCGAACTAAAATCCACATTCAATTTACAAGAACAGAGTTTGAAGAGCTTGTCCGTTACGAACTTTGATACGGTGACGTTGAAATGGCGGAAGGTACGGAGTTGGCATTTTTTGATTTAAGACTAGTCCACGATCACTTTGATCGAGCTCTCTTGCAGGATGACGATATTGATCTCAAAGCATATCTGGATGCCTACAATGAACTTTACAAGTAAGGGTTTGAACTTAATAAATAACAAGATAACTAGGCTTCATACTTTTTCGTGCTGACAATCTTCTGTGTCAATTTTTAAGGTAGAAACGCCTTATTGATCCATATCCTCATGCTGTACTGTCAATGCGTACATAGTGTTCATGCCTTTGTAACACTTTGAAAGATTCTTTGCAAAGCAAATAAATTTTTATTCTGTACCATCTGTTTTTCACAGATTTTTCCAGTTGATGGGCAGTGTGTTTGGCTTTGTGTCCTCTGACTTGAAACAGAAAATTGAAGTCCTAATTGAGCTGATGAACAAGGATGATCAGAATTATACTACAGTAAAATCTATGATAGAGTATGAAAAAGAGAATAAATTGCTGGAGAAAGCAGACCATACCAATGGTGCTCGTACCCTGTTGAGACTACACAGAGGTTTAGGTATATACATTGTATGGAGCTTTCTATGTATGAACAAGCTCAGTGTGTCTTATGTAAAGTGACACTGTGTGAATTTTCAGATTTTATTAGGGAATTTTTGAGACAGTTAGGTGACTTGTCGGATAGCGATAAGACCTCTAGCTGTTGCCAGGATGCGTACAATAAAACATTAGCCAAACATCATCCATGGGTGATCAGAAAAGCAGCAGTGGTTGCCATGTATACCATGCCCACCAGAGAACTTTTATTCAAAAAGGTAAATCATTGTATTTTATAAAAATTATAGACCAATCCCAACGTTAATGTTTCTTGTTCCAGGTTTGCGGTGCAAACGTTCAAAGAAACGTCGATGTCCTGCCAAAAATGTTAGAAGTGACCGCCGATGTATTTAACCGTACCCACTATCTTTACGAGATTTACGAAGTCCATAGTTTACCATAAAGACATATCTAGGAAATAATGAGGTGAAACATTCCGCGTTCAAAATGTGATATACGATAATTTCGTACATGCAATAATAATTTTATTGATGTTTTGTGATACTCCATTACTTACTATATACACGATCGTATATTTATTCACTGAAAACGTACAAACTGCACTAGCTTAGATTCTCATACATTTTATCATAGTTTTAATTTTACCATCGCATTTAATATTGCACGGGTTGCATAATTCGCGAGAAATGATGCGTAGATTCCGCGCGCGTTATCTATTCATTTTAATGTTGATTTTATAAATACAGCATTGTATAATAATATGAAAATAGTTTAGCAAAACGATCTGGTCTCTCTGATTACTTATCAATCCTACTTATTTACATGAATATTTTACAAAAAAAAAAGGATGCCCGTGGTGTATGACAGTCCACAGTGTAAAAATCCACAGTGATCGTCCAGTTAACTAACAGTCGTGTTCATCAGAATCGTTGCATTAACTGCAAGATCAAAAGATCCGTCAGGCATCAGCAGTCCTGAGAAAAGAGAAGGTTACTCGATCAGTAAAACAGTTTGCAGCGCTGCGATGGTAGCTCGAATCTTACCAGCGATGCTAGCTGTGAGGAAACAGACGGCACTACCAGCCACGAAAGCTCTCATGACGGAGCTAGTTATGTTTTCCTTCTTATCAGGGGCCAATGAGGACAAGACACCTAGGGTGATACCTACGGAACCGGGATTCGCGAAACCGCAAATCGCAAACGTGGCAATGGCCTCGGTTCTACCAAAGATTCTTTTCTGATTCTTGTACTCTCCTAGCTTCTGATAAGCGACAAACTCGTTGACCACGGTCTTCAGACCGATCAAAGTTGCCACATCCTCGCACTGCTCCCATGGTACACCCATGATCCAACTGAGAGGCATGAATACCTTTGACAAGATCCACTGAAAGGAACGACGGCGAGTTTCGAAATAAAAATAGATACTCGTTCAAATAGATACTCGTCGTACTTACTTCGAAAGTTAATTCCTTGAAACCTACTAAGAGACCCAGCCAAGAGAGTAACGAATTTACTAGGGCGATAAATGATACAAACGCGACTATATTGGCGATTATGCCTAGGACCAAAGGTATCCCCGCTAAGGCACCCTTGCTGGCGGCGTCCATTAAACTTGAGTCCTTTCTGAAACGATTCGTGCATATCGATGAGACGATTGACAAATTACCTTGTCTCGTATAACTCACGATTTCTCTAATCTAACGTTATCCTTGGTGATGATATTCTTTTCAGTCTCTGGATAAAATAGCTTGGAGTAACAAAGTGCTGCCGGTGCTGCCATCAACGAGGCCGTGATCAAGTGGGCCGGATTCGCACCGAAACCAATGTACGCGGCCAATACCGTTCCTGAATTTCAGCCGAGATTAACATCTGTCTGTTAAAGGGAATCGATTAAACGATTAGCCGCGTGGAAATTTGTTATTTATTCACCTGAGACCGTGGCGAAACCCGAGCACATGATAGTGTGCAATTCTGAAGTGGTTAATTTATTCAGATAAGGTTTGATGACCAACGGAGATTCCGTCTGAAATGAAACGAAATATCAGTGCTAATCTGATACGGTAATCATTGCGATAAAACCTCTTACCATTCCAATAAAGATGTTTGCAGCACAGATCACCGATTCGCAGATCGAGGTGCCCATGACGCTTTGCAGAATGTGACCGAGCTTTAAGATCACCCATTGCATGACACCCAGATAGTAGAATATCTGAATGAAGAAGCTGAAGTAAAAGATCACTGGCAATACCTAAAAATCGAGATGTTTGATCAGTATAAGAATCATTAATTTAGCGTTGAGATTGAGATAGTAGATAAGAGGATCCACCGAAAATGCGAAGACCCCGTCATCAACCAGTTGATTCGAGAAGATGAAGCTTGCACCGGTTTTCGCAAAGTCTAAAAATGTCGCCACCTTGTCGGCTAGGCACTGGAAAATGGCACGACCAACTTCCCATCGAATCGTTAGAAGACCAAACATGAATTGCAAGGTCAATCCGCTCAAAACTGGTCTCCATTTTATCTAAAATATATGATAAATTTCTCGACCCAGATGTTTCAACAACTTTCGCGTTGTCATAAGACTTTTTGATATACAGTTATCTCAGCTTGAAAGTGAAACGGGTGACTCGAAATATTTGCAATATTGCAACGATGAAATATTTATCTGGATGGATACATATTTGAACAGTTCAATATGTCTGTGGCCGATGAACTGCTTGAAATTGTAAAGTTTCTCGAAAATTTGATATTCAAAAAGCTGCAACAACCTCGGCTCTGCTATACGAGGAAACTTTTAAGGGGTATTTCCAATTGGATCAGTCATTTTTAAAAACTGATGTGCCAACGAGCTTAAAAATTTACAAACCTGTCCATTTATTTTGAAAAATATAAATACTTCTATTGGACCACGATATCGAGGATTAATGTCGCAAAAACCAAATGTACTCACTTGACTGGGGTGTTTCGAGAATATCCATCCAAAGCTCATCAAGATAATAACACCAACCCCGCTTAATAATCTCTCCCTCGAATCGGCAGTATCAAAAATAAGGAAAATAACAATAGCTAAGAATATACACGAGTATATCGTCGTTTGAATAACACAGCTGCCATATCTGTGGAAATCGATCACTTGCTTTAATTAAGATTTTAGTCAAAACGCGATAAGATAAATCAGAATTAGTTTATCGAGACGGCAAATAATCTCACTTTGTATTTCGGATACTTCTGATGCGATTATAGAGCGGCTGACTACACTTTGCGAATATTTCCCCGAAGAATCGTTTTACAATGGAACTATAAAGTATCCCACCGTAGATGATCGCTAAAAGGATGATTAGTAAACCGTAGCCATGGCACCAGCTATAACCATTCTCAAAATCTGAGGAAAAATGTTTGATAAGATAAAGATAAAAATAAACAACGTTTTGAAATTACGTCAACCTACTGTTATTCTTCCAGTATAAAGTAGCGAAGATAAAATAAATTAATATTATGATATTGAACAAAGTCAGAAATAAACATTTGCAAGCTCTGCGATGTTTCGAGAGGAAATTGTCCAACTTATTGTACCCTGCTTCCAAAAAATTGACTGACTCCTTGCTAGTTGCTATTGCCTATTTAATAAAAAGTATTGCTGATTTAGAATGCGAGTTGGATAACGAAGGTGCGTTGGATCGGAAGGATTCACACGGGATTAGCAGTCAGGTTTATCTTACAAACTTTCAATTATACACTTGGAATTTTTCCTTGATCGATGTCATTTCGTAACCATAATTACGAAGAATCACAATATGCCACATACCTTGTTCCTCAAGGAGTCTACTGGACGTCCAGCTTCTATCATGTCGAGCTCGTTGCTCTGTAAAATACAATGAAACGTTCTTAAAAACAATTGATGGCGAAACCTTGATCAAATGGAAACTTGGACAAATAAAAATTAGGTGGAAAGAAACGAAGAGAAAAAGGATATCGTGGAAAAGCTGTGAAAGGAAAGGTAACGTACAGTTCGATATTTAATTATTTTTGTCTTACGTCTAGACTCTATTGATATGTAAACGAAGATAAATGTACCTCGAACGCTCGATTCACGTTTCCAGGCATATTTCTGTCTCCAGAGAAAACAGAAACGTGTGTTCCGTCTCAAAGATTTCTCCTCACTGGCACGGTACATTCATGATCGGCGTCGATCAAGAAAAAGGAACTATTATTTCTACAGACCTGAGAATAATTTACAATTTGCTCGTAAGTGAAATTACAAGTAGAAGTTCAGGTAGATAACAGATAACACAGTGATAAGAGTTAAAAACGTCGTTTGAAATATTGACCGAATTTCAACGTTTAAGTAATTTATTTCGTTTTTAAAATACCACATTCTTTAATAAGATTCGTCAAGAAATTATTCTTTACGATCGTAAGATTCCTCTTAATAAAGTATCCTCTTGAAGAAACAAACGAAACTGCACTACAATCGATTAGAACACGAGTGTCGTTACATCGAGAGTTTCACCTTACACTAACGAAGATAACCGGTTTATGTGTGCAACTGTGGTTTGGTATTGGATCATTACCATTCGACTACACTTTGATGATAAAGGCGGAAATAGGGGAACCTCACGGAGTGACATTAACGAACTTCAAGCACAAGATTTTACAATTGACCTCGTTCCGAGTGATCTAACGTTAATTGAATACTCGTGGAATGCGTAACTGGGGATCAGACAGGATAATTGTCTCGAATTTTCCACCTGTCGAGCGATAAAACAATGAAACTGCGTCAGCTTACTTATCAGAAATTCCTCTACGTCGGTGTACCGTGTTTGTTTCACTCGCATCGGAATTCCTTCGAAGAAAGTTTCGCCAAGAAACGAAAGTTACAAGCGACTGTGTCACCTTTTAGTCGCACCTAATATTTAAACCTATTTGCATAAAAAATGAATCACCACTCTGTAATTGTAACGTTCAAGTGCATCTAATCAATAATATCGCATCGTTAGAATACGTAAATACAAGTTCAGTTGAATTAGGAAAATTTTTTCAGGTCAGAAGAAAAACTGTTGGCTAGCCAAGGCTCGTTCGGAGGAATCCGCGTGAATCCCGATGCGTCGTCGTAACGGACCGCGACGACGACGTCGACCACGTCGACCACGCCGAGTGCAAATCAACAGGTCGTACACCATAGCAGCAAGCAAACCGAATACTTTCTCTCCGAGACGCGCCCCATAAAAATTCTCCCCGTTGCGTTCGCGTCGTTCGTTAATCGGTCTGGCGTCTGGAAGCGGCCGGATCGTGGAAACTGGAGAAGCAAACCGGAAAGCCAACCTCGTAATCAGCGATATCTGCTCAGGAGTTGGTTAAACAGCGAATAATTACCCACCACAGAAGATTCCACGAGATTCCGTGTGATTCCGTGTAATTGACTGCACGCGAGAAAATTACGAGACTCGCTTCCTAGACGATAAAAATAATTGTCGTCTACGAGGGGAACTCTATCCAGCCATCGTTGCGTTAATACACCTGGGAAGTTATGTTTTTTTTTTTCAACGCAACCTACTCCTCGTTAATTTCTTTCCGTCCAAAACTTTTTCATCAATTTTAATAACGTCACAACTGAAATTCAGACGTTTCTTTTCCTCGTTCCATAACCTAAGTGATATTTAAAAAATGTTGCAATTCATTGAGGATTGCGATCAGTCTCGTTTCACGTCGACTCGTTCGAATAAATCTACGCTCGCTTATTTAGAAAAAAGGCGTAGATTGTCGGGGCCGTAGACGAGATCAGAATGTCATCGATTTCGAGCCCTCGTTTTTTGCACTCCACACGGTCCCAGATTTTAATCAAATTATGTAAAGTTTGTTTGTCCGCACGTGGATCCATCGAAGGTCTTCTCGGAACGAAGACTCGGATCTTTCGATTCAAATAACATTAACTTGAAAGTTTTATAATACCTTCTTCTACCGGATATCGTGTAAAGGAGAGGAAAAATTTAATTCCCTTCTTCTTATTAGCCTAAAAAGCCTCGATTTCCCCTGATTTGATAAAGGAAGAAGCCGAATTGGCTCGACGAGGATTCGCTGAAAGCGGCTGGATCGGGAAGATGAGGCGGACGCGTTATCTCTTCGAGACGCGACGCGACGGCTGGAGTTTCATCGCTAAGTTACGTAGTAGAAATTTCGTAAAACTGGAGGGTCTCGCATTTTCGCTCGATATCTGACGCCCCAACCGGTGGAAATTTGATTTCCTAGACAAGGTATGCTTATACAGCGGCCAACATCGCAACCGGCTACTATTCGAGCCTAGAATCAACAGAAACGAAAGCAAACACGACGAGACGAGACGAGACGGTTGCCCTTGATCCGAATCCTCTGTTTTCTCGATCAATCACTTTCATTCCGTTATATTTTACGCGATTTCCAGGAAAATCGTACGAAAATTTACGGATCTATTGTTTATCAAAAGTTACTCGAAGATCATGAAATAGACATTATTACGAGGATCGAAGACGGTTCTGCGCAAAACAGACGATCGTGTACGTACATTCGACAGGCGGACACGCAATTTGCATTTTTCAAAACGATCTCGTAACACGCCCAACTGTCTACGGCCTTGATCATTCTGCAGACCTCCTCTATTTTTCTGATCTACGTAGTAGAAGTTAAGCAAGCCAGTTTTAGGTAGCTGGCACACGGCCAAACCCGATGAGAATAGCGAAATCCGAAGAGTATAACTTGTGGATAAACATCGGCGTTACACAGGCCCGTTCTCTTCAAACCACGTCATGTTTAACCACTCGGCTTAGAAAAGCATCGAACAACTAGCTTACTCATGGTTCAGAAAAATCTCCGATACCCAAACTATCGTGTAGAGATTGAAAATCCAATATATGGATGGTGCTATTTGTAATTTCACATATAATCGTTCATCCGAAGATATCGTATCTGAGCTAAGGAATAACGCGATCCCCATAGAGGAATTCAACGGGCGGAAATGAGTGGAAACAGTAAACCAGAGGATGGGGCCGTCTGCATCCAAGACCGTCTTCGGATACACGAGAACCGAAGAAAATTGAAGAACGATCCGCAGACGATGCTCTGCCTCTTCCTGTTCCTCTTGTTTCTTAACGGCTCATCTTGCCTCTTGATGCTATATCGCCGAACGGCACGTGGATTCTGCGGACATTTCTGAAAGATGCATCCGTCACACGAATCTTCCTAACAGATGGACATTTTTTTGCATTTGATATTCTCAGAATGTTGCGAATTACGATTACTAGCGCGTGCAACTGATCGTGGTACAATAAATAAACGGAGGTAAGTTTCATGGAATAAGTGGCGTTAAATCACGCTCGATGGCAATTTAATGCATCTCTAATTGGAAATTCTCTGGGAACATGTAGCAATTGACTAACTGTAAATAAAAGTATTCCTCTTATCGATATTCTGCAACAATTTATGGCGGGTTACCTTAATTTAAACCCTGTACGCTCGATGATTTAACGCACTTTTAATTAGTCTCACCGTCGTTCGAGCTACGGCCATATTCTTTTCTGATCGATACGAGAGAGAATGAACCGAAAAAGTAACACGCATTTAAGCTGCATACCGATCCTGTCCTCTTTGATTTCCTCTTGCTCGTGTTCCAGCGGAATGCGACGAATCTGATCCATAGTCTTTTCGTCGCAGCACGCGACTCTATCTCCTCTCGATGCCGAACACGGTCATATTTCACTTTGCTTCTTCCACTTCCGATCATCTTCCAGATCATCATTCGCCTGCGATCGCAGCGAATTCTCTTCGTTTTACGTCTTCGACTACGTTGCAGCTTCCATGTAAAATTTCTGAATAATAGATAAATCGGTAGCAAATCGATTACCGCCTACTACATATTTGGTTGTCAAGGTTCCACCTATTTCTCATGTAACAGCGTTACACGAATCGACGTATCAAAAAAAGGCTGTTAGATATGAAATCGTGGTTTGGACAGGCTGGAAAGGTGGAATATTTTATTCGTGCGTCGGCGTAAAAATGCAGGAATAACAAGGGATTCCGTGTCCGATTACCTAGTCGACACGGTGTTTTCGATTTCAAACGATCTCCTGGTATCGCGATACAACCGAAACGAGTGCACCTATGCGTGGGCGTGCGATTGCGCAATACGAAATTCAAATTTCGCCTCGACGAAACGAGCTGAAAGAGGATGGAGAAGGCGGTACCAGAAGAGTCTCTCTCCTGCCGGATTCCAGGTACGCCTTATCTCGATTGCTGTCTGCCTTCAACAAGGCGGGGGAGGGAGAGATGGTGTCCGAGCCATGCAAATTGTACCATTTCCATTTTTTCTTCTCCTCTTCTGCGTCTCTTCGAGCAACCCTCTTCTCCCTTTGCCCGATCAGGCCACTCTCGTTCTTTTTTTCCTCTCTTCTTGCCCTCTGTGTCTGTCCGTCTGTCTTCTCCATCCACCTTATTTTTATTATTTCCTTCCTCCTCCGTATCCCAGGATACGATTGGGAATCGACGAAAACGAACGAAAACGAACGAAAACGAACGAAAACGAACGAAAACGAACGAAAACGAACGAAAAAGCTGATAATTTGCCAGACGTGGGCGGTCGTCGCGTCTTTGCGTTCAATTTTCACTCGAATCTGCGTTCACCGATTCGACGTCAACTTAGGGATGTACCGAGAAAATTGAAATTCCAACGTTTCGTATCCTTACAGAGTCATCGAACTTGTTTCGTTTCCTCGAACAATCGTCGACACCTCTGCTTTGACGCAAAAGAAAGTTCGTGAGAAAAATTTGTTTTGCATCGACTGCATCCAACCCACGTATCGATTCGTCGACACGAGGATTTTTTGCAAAAATTCTCTACTCCGTTTCTTAGTCATCCGAGAGGTCTGCTTCTTTCGTGCCTATTCGATACACGAATCTAAGTACGACACGCAAGTTCAGCGGATTCATTGTATCGCATTTGATGCACGGGAGACAAGCAAAGGGTTAATACCAGCCAGCTCGTCTGACAGTGATAGGATCCCGAGACAATTCCGTTCTGTTCCTCATCCCTGGTCCCAGGAAAGGGGGTCCCGGGCAAGGACGACGCACGAGTGTTACGAGTGCAAACAACAGTTTGATGGCGAGGCAAGGCCCCGCGTTATTTATTTCGGTACGTCTAGACGCCAGATTGTCTGTTCGTACGTCCGATTCGCGACGGAGGATTCGGAGGTGACGTCAGGCATAGCCGTGTTGCATCGTCGAGATTCGACCTCTTCAGAAGAGACAGACTCCTCTCTTTATTCCTCTCTTTATCAATCAAATTGCACATCCTCCTCTTTTCGACGACGAAACGCGTGCACGCGTATCTACTTTACGCCGCGATATAGACATGTAACCGCTGAGACGACCGGGCCGTTGCATCCAACAGGGTGCAATAAAGTGCTCCTCCATTTGTTTACCGTGAAATCGTCCCCCTGTACCATTCGACTCGGGAAAGATCGCTCTCTGCTAAATTTACCCTTCGAACGGGAAATTCGTTTTCGAATCGGTTCTAGCTCGGTTAGAATTTAGCTTAAACTTCGACGATGGTTTCGCTGGCTGAGGATGATTTGAAAGCAGCACGAAACGAAAAGGCGCAGAGTTAGTTTGAATAAAAATAAATGAGCCCGTTCGAATCTGAGAATAAACAGCCACTCAGTCTGGCCGAAGAATCCGCACCGCGTTGAGTGTTCCCTATAAATCCAGCTCCGACGCATTATCGCGTATCGGAAAGGATTTTATTTAAAACGTCAGACGTTCGGTATTCGTCCACCGTTAGACAGGTTGAGAGAACCCGAATCCTTTAACCCAATTTTCAGAACCGACCGCGTCACCGCAATTTACGTCGGGCCCGACCTGGAAACCGCGACGAATTTACGATCGCGTCGTTCCTTCCTCTTCCATATTACGACGGGGCTAAGTTTGGCTGAACGTTCAGGACGGGATGGGACGGGACGAGAGCAGATGGATCGAGACGAGACGGAAAGAAATCATCCAATAACAGATATCTACATACCGGATAGTTCTCACGGCGCTGATTTCCAGCTCTTTTTCAGCTGGTTTCTTCAGTTTCTTTTAACGTCGATGTACGTTGCCACGCATCGTATTTTCACGCAGGCATTTATTACAAGACAAGATACATTATGATTCAAGATCATATCTTTCGATTCGTCTAGACGGCGAGGAGGGAGACCTATAAAGTCGTACGTGGTTGCCCCTGAAACGAGCATTTCATCGCGCCTCTTCGTCTTCCTACTTTTCTTCGATCTTCGAAGATCGATTTCTTACGTCGAACAGAGAAGAGGCAGATCGAATGAAAAAAAGGTTCGAAAGTCTTTCGGTTCGTAAGGAAGAGAAGAAAAAAGAAAATTCCACTAGGGACGGTGAGTAGAGTGAGAGAGAGAGGGAGAGAGAGAGAGAGAGAGAGAGAAAGAGGGAGTCGTCCGCGGGATTTCGGCGAGCGAGGGAAAGGGTTTACGCGCGCGCGAGGCGGGTGGAGCAAGAGCAAGAGCAAGAGAAAGAAGAAGAAGAAGAAGAAGAGAGAAGAGAAGAGTAAAAGAAACGAAAGGAAAAGAAAAAAAAGAAAAAGGAGCGATCGTAGTAACACCGGCGCGTCTCCTCTCGCGGCTTCGTGCTTGTCTCGGAATTAGTGAGTAGACAGAATTATGCCCGTGAGCAGGCGGCCAGCTTGGCTCAGTTGAGACTTACTGTTCAGCCTGTGCAGACGCATGCCACGAATCTCTTTCCCCACTTACATACATCGCGCCTTCCTGATGCGATTAGACTAGTCCGCGACCGCTGTCTGATCACCGACCAGACACCAGTTTCTTTAACGCTTCTTCCTACACACGCATCGTCCTCCTCCCCTACACGCATACACCAATCATCCTGTCATTTCCCTCTCGTTCCGGCTCACCCGTTCCCGCACCAGAGAAAACACTCAAAAGATTCATTCTTCGACGCTATCGTTGTTAAAGGGGGTTGTCACCAGTGTGAGATGTTCGACGGAAAGAATGGAGAACTCGGTTGACCGATAACAGTGAATCCGTGGCTACCATTCCGTTATCGGAATAATCTTGACAGAAAAACAGATCGTACGTGTGACAGTTTTCGAGGACAGAATCAAGGACAGTTGACAAGGGACATTTAAGGTCAATCAGGATGGGGTTCGTTAGGTTATTCGCGTTTCTTTTGGCAACTTCAATCGTGAACAGTGCTTGGTGTCACCATCACCATCGCGGCGTCCACGTGGACTACAGAAAGATGGGGGAACAGGTGAAAAGGTACGACGAGAACGTGATCCTCTCGGAAGGTGGCAAGAATAGGAGAAGTTTGAACATCGAGAAACCAAAAGGGACGATTCCCTTCAGCGAGAGGAGGCTGGAGAAGATGCTGGAGAAAGCGATTCTGAAGATCATTACCGGTGACTTGAGCACCGGCGACATGCTGTTGTTGAAGAGCTTGAACTACACTCTGGACGAGATTTTAGCGATTCGCGAGAGGGAATTGGGGAAAAAGAAGGAGGAGGAAGTGAGGAAGAAGGAAAGCGTGAAATCTTGGGCGAAAGCGTTGTACGGAGAGGGCGAGAAAAAGAGTAAATACAGGGACAAGAATTCTATGGATCGTTTAGCCTCGAAGAAACCTGATTTCGAAGAGACCAAGCACGAAGGTAAAAAGAATCGTCACGCGGACAAATCCTCGTACAAAGGCTTTGATTTCGAGGCGTATAATCGGCAGGCGATCCTCGATTACGAGAATCTACCCTCCAACCTGGAATTCCAGCAATCCTGGTCGGAAGGTACGTCCTTCGTTGACTACGAGGAGACCACCAGAGCTTCCAAGGAACAGGACGTCGCGAAGAGTCTTCATCGCGACTTTGATAAAGCGATGGAGCCTCACGTGGTCTTCAAGATTCGCTACGACGACTCGGAATTCGATTCCACTTCTGGTTCCGACGAGGCGAACAAAAGTCATTCGAAAACCACCAGGCACCGAGTTTCTTCGACGATCAAGCACACCACCCCGAGGAGCAACAGCGATTCCTTTCACGGGTCAACACCGTCAACCTTACAGCCTTCTACTCTTACTCTCGCTAACAGGCTACCTGTGGTTTATCAGCTGAGCAACTTCAACAGCGTCATAGGTAACTATCCCAACGATCGCGTTTACTCCAGTACAACGCCATCTTCGACGCTGAGCACCAGCAGCACGACGGAAAGAACAGTTCCCGAGGAAATCTCGAAAGAGGTTCTCGAAACGAAATCGAATACGCTTGTTCAGATCAATGGCTCGAAGGAAGAGACAGTGAGTCCGAAAATCGAAGAAAAATCGAGCGAAAATAAGAAAGTGAGCGAGTACGAGGGACTCGAGTGGGTGGAGGATGACGTTTACAGGGTGATACCTGAATTCGTCGAATCGTTGGATTTTGAAAATATCGAGGGAAACGAGACGTCCGACTACGAGGATTCGCGTCACTACTCTGGAGCACACTGGAACACGGAAGATAACGAGAACGGCACTCTGGAGTACCAAGACGACTCGGCCGATTCGGTTAAGCTGTTCATGGCCAATGGTAATGCGTCTACCAACAATCTAGCCCTGGCCAATTTTTCCACGTATCCGCAAGCGACCATTAATAACCGACGAGAGTAAGTACCTGTCCATAGTGTCCATGACAATTTCGATCGGTGAACGATCTGGTTGTATTAAATGTTCTTCGTCTCTGTGTCTCGCTTCGCAATAGAACAAACGCTAGATTAGTTTCTATAAAATATGCTTTTTGTGTCTTTTAGAGGAAACCTAACTCCAAGTATCGATAGGTAAGACACCCACGACGGCACCTTGGGTAAGAGAAACGGTGTGCCGATCAAACGAACGTAGAATTGAACATTTTTGCTTTGTACACCCATTTCCCTTTGGTCGGACAACTGCTTTCCTTCTGGCTTGGCTTGCATAATCTCAAAATACATTCTTCGTCGTGTTATCTCATTGCCTGTACTGCATGGGACAAGATTCCTCGCGATAACAACGAGCTGTGTTGTGTTCACACGAAAAAAAAAAAAAAAGAAAAAAAAAGGAGAAACGGTAACGTTTACCTTCTGTTCCTTTACTCTGCCCTCGTCATCGTGACGAAGAAAACGGAGTTTTCCAGCCGCGTAACCCGCGACAAACTCCTGCGCGCGAGATACTCGTCGACAAAGACGTTCTCGACGAATCGTTGCCCCCGCCACGTAAAAATATCTCGATGGCATGTAAAAATATCGTGAGGAAACCGCGAAGAACCGTCCAAGCGCCACTGAAACTTCTACGTCTCGCGTACTGACCAGTGTCCGTTTCTTCTCTCTCATTCAAGTGAAAAACTAGAGCGTGCCACGCTATCGATAGGGGATCAGAAAATTGAAATTTCTCAGCCGGAATCGTTGATAATTAAAAAAAAAAAAAAAAAAAAAAAATGATTGAAGAAACACAAGATGTACGATCTTTTCGAAATACATGGCGCGAGGACAGAGCGTAGCCAGGAAGGACGCACGGTGGAAATTCCGCCGTGGTCCCTAGCTATCTTTTTAAATCGCCCTCCTTCTCCTCCACCTCGGCCCCTCCTCGCGCGGGTGCGAAGGCGTTTCTTTTATTTTATTCAGTCTAGACGCGTAAATGCATTCGTGTCGGCACTGGCGTAGCCTGCCGAGAGTACTCGCTTCGCCTCTTCCTCGAAGACTTCTACACCATCTATAGATCTCCTCTTGTCTTTTCACCCGAACAGCTACTCTGCTGCAATTCCACGCTGTCTTTTGCCTTTTAACGTAAGACCTCTGCCACTGCAGCCCTCCCCCCCGAAACGACGTAATTTTCATAAAAAGTTACATCCAGCAAGTTTCGATGTAAGAAGGAAGATCGAAGGGGAGGAAAATCGTAATCTTGCGAATGTACGAGGATGAATAACGCTGAAGAGGCAGGCTCAAGTTGAGCACCCTCGTAATCACCGGGTGTCTAGTCAGACTGCAGTTAGGACTGCTCTCTTACGAGGTTATGTAACACATTTCAATTTAATGCGCTGACCTTGTCTATGCGTCTCTCTTCCTATGCCGACGAAGACGATGCGAGTCGCGCGACGAAGAGAGAGGAGGAAGTTTTCGCCAGTCGTTCCCCACTTCACCTCCAGACGATGCAACGTGCATTTTTTGGCGGTCGCCAATCAGACCGCTTTACCGTTCAGCGGTGAACGCCAATCACGATATGCTAAACGTTTTCCTGACTTTCGACCCCCGCGTGCAGCAATTTGCTCCGCGTGGATTTTTCCTTCTCCGCTTCATCCACGTGTAACTATCCACGTACCACCGACCGCCGCGCCGATGCACAATTGCTCTTCTTTTTTCTTTTTACAATTATCCACTATCCTCTTTTGATGACATTTTCTTTCTTCCGGTATAATCAAACGAGACGAATGGTAGCGAAAAGAAAATCATAAGGAAGAGTTGAAAGTATTCCTGCGAGTGAATCATCCTATCCAGTTTCTCACGTGTCGGATGCCGGACCGAGTGTGTTGTTAGTTCGTAGCTTGTTACAAAACCGGCGTGTAACGCAGTCAATTTTCTTAATACGGTACTCAGGAAGGATCACTGGATTCATTCTCATGATGCAACGGCCTCCAGACACCCGAGTCCTTCCCTTTCCCAGACGGCAAACAGACGTGACACGTACGCAACGAGACACCGTAGAATGCGTGACTTGGACGCGGCTAGATTAACGAGCATGTCTAGAGTCGAATACAAGATCGTCCAGAGATTTCGTGGCAAGATTTTGTTTGGTAAAGCCTAGTCACCATACCACTTGTCTCTTCCGTCTTTGAGAAATGGGACAAGTCGTAGGAGGTTAGCCGAAATTCTTTCTCGTTCTCTTTGAGAAACGTCTCGCTAGAAGCATCGTCTCCCCGATCGCTTCATTGTTTAGGAAAACCGCTTCCGGTTGCTCGTTCGCCAGCAACGAGGTCGTTGACGCGCCATTGGTTGCACTCAAAACTTCGTGTAGGTGTGTGTTCGACGCAATAATCCTTACTTACCGCCGACGTGGAAGAAAGATCCTTACCTTCTTCTTTTCCTCCTCGGTTAACGAGTTCGAGCGCTTTCGTTGCGTAATCCTGTAATCTCACCTGATTGCTGGCTACCTCTCGAACACACCAATCTACGGGAAAGAAGGACAAATTTGGAAATTTAAGATATTCGTTTTTTGTCGCGTCGTAAACGCCACAGGCGCGTCGCGTTCGAGCGAAAGGGTTAATTTCATGCATAAATGCATAAGCGTAAAGAAATAAATTTCTTTAATACAAAGGGATCAAGATTCAAGACGCATCAGGAATACATTACTAGCTGGCTTCTAGACAGAAAGACGAGGTGATCAGGGTACCAATGCCCCCGACGGCTGTCTAGTCAGTGTCTAGAACGTATAATAAATATCTCTGACCCACACTGTGGGCTCTGTAGGTCACTGACCACCGTCCATTGGCCTGACTTGCCACCCGGAAGAGTTGGTACGCGTCTCGAAGTGAAAATTTCTATTCCATTACCACTTCTATCTTTTCAATTTTTCTACTCCTTCTTCTTCGCATCACGTTACTAACGCTCTGTCAGATTTTATACGCACGAAATACTTTTCTTTCCCTAAACCCGATCATTTTCTCAGAATACGTTGAGAGTTTTCCGAGTGTCGTGGTTTTTTCATTCAACTATTTAATTGGAATTTTTAACATCGTCATCTTACGAACTTCCATTTGTCTGTGCAGCCAGGGTGAAAAGGCCATCGAGGACATTAAGGTACGAGTTTTGTTTCTAACCGGAAGGTCTAACACCAGTCAGGTTCAACGTCAAAGGCTGACCATGTTCTCGCCAACCTGTGAGTCGCTCGAATTAATTCCCTAATTATTCACGCCTTTCAATGCGATAACTGTGTGAATCGAATTTGAAAGTTCGGTCCGTTTGAACAGGTCAGATACCACGGAACACCGAGCAGGATGCCTGGACGGACCCGTTCTCCATGAACATGCACTTCCAGTTAAACCTGACTTCCGGCGACCACGTGGTCGCTGCCAAGTTGAGAATATACAAATTACCGCAAGAGAACCTCACATCCTCGACGGAAAGCACGTTCGAGGAGGAAGTGGTAGACGAAAAGAAGATCAGGATATCGATCTACTACTACACCAAGTCTTTAAAGAGGCATCGATGTAAGTTTCACCGGATGTTTTAAGATATTTTCACGCATACAGAGTGTCCTATAATTAAGAATGTTCATTTACAGCGAAAAAACGTTTGATGGATTCTGTTGTAACGCCACTCACATCGAAAGGCACTTATCTAGCGTTAGACGTAAGGGATGGTCTTAGATTTTGGAGGTTGAATTCAAGAAGTCCTCACGGAAACGGAAGTAATCATGGCGTGGTGGTCCAAGTCGAGGACCAAGATGGCCGACCACTGAAACCGGCCCTATATATTCAACAACCGTCCTGCGCCGACCAAGATTCGGATCAGAAGGCATGTGAGTGTGTGCTCTAACAATACTAACTCCAATTTCGATTGTTTGCTTGTGCATCATTGTGTGACACTTAACAACGTGTGACATAACAGAACTGAATGAAGTAAACGATATAGAAACGTGGTTATTGTTCGTACAGTTAGCCGTTTTTTTAATTTGCCAATGCTTTGTGGTTTGATGCGATTGATTTCTTACTTTTTTTTTCAAATATAGTTAAGTATGAATGGTACTTACAGCTGTTTTTCTTCTTTTACAGACCAGCGAATACCTGCACTCTTCGTTAGAGCCTGTACTCGTTACCTTCGTATCGTAAACGGCAAGACGGAAACATACGTGAATTGTAGGCATTAAAACTTATTAGAAAACAGTCACGTGCCAATTAAACGGACGATCGTTAAAAGTGCACTTTATTCGTGGAAAAATATAAGAAACACTCGCGACAATTACGCGACGATTCGATTCAAAGATACTGTTGTCAAAGCCGACATCATATTTTTCAATACAAAGTCTAGTTATTTTTAACGCACTATGTGCCTTCTTAGATATATAGTTATCTTTTTTAATTAATATTGAAAATGAAACAAATGATTTTTATATTGTTATTCATATATAACTATGTCGATCAGCTTCATTGATATGTCCAAATTAATTTTTTTTAAATTTTTTATATAAAAAAATTCTAGTGACATCTCGACTGTTCTATGCGCAAAAACAATTGAAAGACGCGCCGCCATTTTGTTTAATTAGTTTCGCGCGCACGTTTCGGTTTTGAGGGAGGTCCCGTGAAAAAAGTGTACGATCGCGTTAATAATCGTTTTATAGACTGTTTTAATTGTTAATTGGAACACGAATCTCGTTGTTATTTAAGTAGAGTAGTGAGTAAGTGGTATCTTATTGTTTTTGTATTGTTTTTCGTGACGCGGACGAATCGCGTGTGGCTTGCCGGTACGCACCATTTTCCAGTTATGTAAGTTAAATTAATATCATTTACATTTAACTGTTAAACAATTTAGTAATGTACATACCAGTGAAAAAATTAATCAGTAGATCGATAAATCGATTAGAATATTCATTTTGACCTGTATGCACATGTACGTGAATATTGGTCACATGTGTATACACGTCATACCCATGACTGATGTAACCAAATGTAAAAGTTTAGAGATAGATATTTATGTTTCATGTTAATTAAACAATGTAGAGTCTCCTAGGACTCTGTTTGTTATTACATGCTGGATGGGACCACGTATAGAAATTCATTGTATCTCAATGAAATGTTATAAGCATATAAAGTACTTCTTATCATAGTGCTTTTACATTTTGGTGGTCCATCCAAAAGTTATGCTACTTATTATTATACGCAGTTATTGTCTAACGAAGGAGACAATGTTTTTGCAAATTTTACACAATCGTTGTATATAATGTATATTTAATTTCTTGGTTGCGCAAAAATAAATGCATTTTAAGTTTGATCTTTATTCTTCTTATACTATTTATATGGTTTTTGATGCGTTTCTTTCTTTCTTGAAGAAGACAAGCATTTTATTGCAACATAATTTGGTAAAATCATATTATGCATGCTTTGTTTTATTGATGTTTTAATTTGACACATGTTGTGCCATATCTTATCATATATTAAAATGTTGCTTTGATTATAGTTTAATGGTTTAAATGATTTGCTCTCTTATTCATTGTGTAAAAACAATCATTTCTGTACAAAAGTGATTTTTATTACAAAATTCATTGATAGGAAAGTACAATCAACATTTACAACAGAATGAATGAATGAATGAATGAATGAATGAATGAATGAATGAATGAATTGGATCATTTTTGTTGTCAAAGTAACAAAATTATTGACAACAGTATTTTTCTATAGTTGATTCACGCTCGTGTACTTTGTTCATAACAATTAACAAATTGCTCTGAAAAAAGTGCACAGAATTTGTATCTGCTACACAGATACAACTTTAAACTCGGTGGTTCGAAATGCATCAAGAATCACACATGTGTGATAAATAAACAGGACAAACAGAAAAGTTTCCTTTTTTTTTCTTCTAACAATTTCGTCTCTTGACACCATTTTTTTTTGCTGTTCATCGATGAATCGCTTCTAAGTAGTAATTTAAAATCGTAATTTAATCTGTTTGTTTTATTAATTTAATCGCTGTATAGCGGCTCTTATCATATCCTGACAAGAATTTAATGTTTTAATCATTAATATCCCATTTATATTTGTACCTAATTCTTAATCGTTGTATCTTCTTAGTTAAACGACTTGTTCATTTCAATAGAACAACAAAGAAATATTTTGTCGAATGATGAAAGAAGAATATTGTATGCATATGAAAAGCAAAACATCATCGAAACACGTACAAAGACTGCACCATTATGTGTTAGACACAAAACACTATACAGTTTCGTTTAATCCGTTGTGTTCTTCGATGCATTGAATCTTTCTTCACAATTCTACGGATATCTTCGCGTGGAAAATCCTGTACACATATTCTAACGTATTCGTCGTTTCATCCGGAATTTTAGTACACTCATTAACGTGTCTCGAACGACGCGTGATAATTTTTTAGTCCTTTCAACTATTGTGCTTTAATCAGTTCGTTCTCTTTTATTTGCACAATGGAACACAAGTTAAACTTTTGTTTGTATCGCGTTCAAAGTGGCAGCATTCGTGGATATAGATAACGAGTCACTGATTATTGCGATCAGACCTGAAGATTAATCGAAATTGGCCCGAAGTTGCTCGTTTCCACATAGTGACTCGTTCACCTGGCCTAGCTATCACGATCCAAAGAGTCCAATGTGTCGTTGCTGGACGAATGGGTCAGATCGCTCAATTCGTCCAGGTGTTTCTGCTTCTTGCGAACGTTCCAATGCAAACACTCGGCTAGAGAGTCGAACCAATCTGTGATTTGGTCTGCCGCGCAAATACTGGGTACCGGGTATATCGAGGTAGTCACCCTTAAGCTGAAAATCACGTCTGATGGTTAGCTGAATAGTTCATCGCATAATGTTGCGCGATATTGAAATATGATAATCAAGATAAACGAATGATGTACGAGAATTGTTCAATAAATAAAGAGTCAAACTGTCGTTCAGCTAGTTAATCCATAATGATCGATGGTACGAGCGTTTGTCTCTTTATTTATCGAGTGATTCTTGCATGAAGAGTACCATCAGCAGTACAGCCAACGTCCCATTTCTAGACGAAGAATGAACAGATACAAAGTTTCCATCGTGGTTGCGTGAAAGATAGAAGTTTCGTGAATAATTCCAAAAGATAACGAGAGATGAATTTGAAATACAAAACAGAGAATGTATAAATAAAAGGATAATGTAATAATTGCGATGAAAATAGTAAAGGGAGAACTGAGAGAAAGTCTTTTACGAAATAAGAGGACACACCTATCCCCGACCCGTAGCTCTTGCTGATTGCGACCGTCGAAGGAGACGTAAGCTGTGCTGCGGGCGTTGCTGTTTGCCATTATCTGTAATAATCGCGAGAAACGCAAACGATTAGACAAATCTGACAAATGAAAAATTACCTGTCGCCGTGGAACAGTTCCTGCCTGTTTCTACCGTCGAAGGACACCCACGAGGTGTTCCTGCTGTCTGGTGAAACAGAGATCTGCGATAGACAGCAATGGACTAAATGAATTTCTATTCAATTATCACGTATGACGGAAAGGATCCATGGAGTCAGTATGAACTTCAGTTATTTTCGCGAAACATGATCAACGATTCGACATTCTTTTTTTTAAACAAACCAAGAACGGCGCATGGTCTGGGTATGCGGCCGACATCCCTCCAGACCAAGTTTCCTTCTATGGGGTAACGTCTCGAACCAGAAATCCTGATCGTATCGTGATAAGAAGCTTCTACTGACCCACACGGAAATACTGTATTACTTGGTGAACCGTTCGATAAGTTCTAGGAACTCTTTTCGTATTTCCATTCATCTGTATTTAAATTTGATCTTCGCAATGATCAAATAGCTTCTCTAACCACGAATGACGTTGAGTTTCTCCAAATACTACCAATCACCAATATGGTGCCCGTACACTCTGTCCCTTATGGAGAGCTGTACCAGGCCATAAAAGGTGTCGATTCATTTGTACGGTGAAAAAATTCGGAAATACCTTCAGTTCGACGCCGGCGGGCACGACAATTGGCCTGAAGGACAAAGAGTGAGGGCAGATCGGCGTGATCATGATGGCAGGTACCGAAGGATGAATCATGCTAGCTCCAGCCGCGACCGCGTACGCGGTGGACCCTGTCGGCGTGCTTACGATCAGGCCATCACCCTGTACGCTGGTCACGTGTTTCCCGTCGATGAAGAGGTCGATATTCGAGAGGTACGGAGACGGGCCTCGATCGACCACGACCTCGTTCAGCACCAGCAGATTTGTTGGCGGTTTCGCCTCTTTGTTCTCCTCCCCTTTCCTCATGATGATACATCTCAGTCGACTTCTCAGGGTCAAGGCCGCGTGACCTGGACACAAGGCCAATGTTCGTTACATTTATAACACATCTTTTTTTAACGCATTGTCGTTGATCTTGAAAGGACCGGTACCCTTTTTGAGTGGCTTGGCTTTCGATCCTTGATTGGATACTTGAAAGAGGGATGATTGTTTTCGGATTTCAATTTGTTTTGTTCAGTAAAGGAGGGTTGTTTTAATTGAACTGTCGCCTGCGTTAGATCACTACTATCATTTGATATTTATAGGCAGTTTGCGGTGTATGATAGGCTTAGTCAGCTCGTTTGGAAGATGGTTAGGTGGTCCGAATTGGAAACTTTCGGTATATATACGTCATCGCAAGTCGTCTGTTAACCCTAGAGCAGACTCATAGTTTATTCGGTAAACACTGGGCACGTCCGGCCGAGAGCGCGCAAAGTTTGCGCGGAAAAAATTGTTTTTCTTTGAAATATTAAACATTATAATTAGCTGGGGCGGCGAGTACAAGAAATCAACTGTTTTTTAACGTTAACGATGAATAATGACCAGAGACAAGAATTTTTAGTCTTGTCATCGTTTAAAGAGAACCGCCGTACGATAAGTCACGTTGTTTGGTTGTAATATGGCACTATCAACGAGAAGAAAGGGGATAACAGTTTCGAAGGATGCAGACATTCGCGGTCGATTACAGTTCTGTTGCGCGAAATGGAGAGTGAAAATCGCAGCTCACCTTCTAACACGTTCGTCACTTGCTCTTGGAAATTGTCGAACTCGAAGGGCGTTAGGAACCCTAAGGAACCAAGATGAAACGCCATAACAGGCGGTACCGATTGTTGAAACAACAAACTCGCGTAGAGAAGAGTTCCATCGCCTCCCAGACAGACGATGAAGTCGATGCGATCCTTAAAAATATCATTAATTCAGCATAGAAACGATGATTTAAAAATCTTCGAGAGTTCAGGCCGGCTCGAATAGCTCATAATTACCTGAAGATCGTCCATTCCATCCCTGAAAGTCTGCAACCTGTCTCGAACCCCTTGGAATCTGGGGTCCCTAGCTAGAGCTGGATCCTCTAGGACCGATGCTTCGACAAACACTACCATCCGTTTTTCCTAAAATCGTCCACGAAAATTTAGACCGTTCTACTTAATTACCGATCGTGAAGACGAAAAATAAAATGTGTTACGCAACGTGTACAGTACATTTACATTTACAAACAAAAAAGTACGCGATACGTCAAGTAATCGTTGATAAAATATGTACACAAAAACTTTCCACGTCACGTAATATGAATCGATAGATCGAAAAATAAGCGCGGTGCTTAGGAGATTTAGAGACACTGCCTAGATTATGATTAGCTTGATTAAATCGTAATACGTTTCGAATAATTCAGAAGATGCCTGAAAATGCTGCTTTTGCTCATTAAAGGAATATTGGTTCAAGTAAAAACGTCGTACTAATTGATTATTAGTGAAGAAATAAATAAATAACTTAGTACTTACTTCTATTAGCCATGTGACTAATTGAACAAACGGTGGTAAAACCGACGAATCACGGACCTTCTTGATGACGAGAACAGTGAGCGGCGGCTTGTACCACGTCAACCTCTGAGAGGCTGGGTCTTGTATGGTCCTATAATGACATAAAGAGAGGAAAAAACACGAATATATTTACTTCAATCAAAGTTCAAATTTTTAATGGAAAATACTGACAATCGCATTAATTCAGATGTGCTCATCCTTTTTCACTGAATTCGTCGGAAAAGCCGGAACAAAATAACGAGAAAACTTGCATTTAACATTACCGCGAAATGCGTCATTAAATCAATTAATATTAATAACGAAAAAAAATCGATTTCTGTACTTCGATCGACAAGAATCTTCATGCGTTCAAGGATAAACTGAATCGTTATCGAGTCTCGGAAAACTGCCCACTCTTACCTTGCACAATTGTTCAGGGGTTACAGTGTCGATTTTAAAGTGAAATACTTGCTAATCAGATTGATTAAATATTTATAAAAAAAGTGCTTTGGGTATGTAGAAAGGTAGACGATCAAGAAAGTTATCATTGAATTAGGGTCGTTAAGGTTAAAGGCTTGAATGAATCGAGAACGGTTAATGTTAACAATAGCATTGGCTATGGCAAAGTTCAATCAGGATGTACCTTCTTTTCCGTTCGATAATAATGCAGAAGTAGTTTATCTCGTTGCTTCATTGCCTGGTTCTTATTCGACAAGAAATAAAATCACGTAATACCGATAAGAATGCGAATTATTTTAAGAATATCGTCTACAAGTTCGTCTATTTTAAAACTTCTGGAAATCATGCCAGATCAAAAAGTGTCGCATCTTGTCGACCGATGAATAGCATTGAATCGCTCCTTTCGAGGCAAAGGAGTGCATTCAACTGCATCAGATGCACCTTTTCAATTTTACTGTGTATCGTTTTGAAATTCGAAATCAAGAAACTCTGGCGATGGACCTAGCTGCTAATTAATCCTTGTCTCACATGAGCGATGAGACATATCACATGCTAATGACGCTGGTAACGAATGCATTGAACATCAATAAAATTCATTTTATTTAGCGTTAACCCGTGATCCGTGACTTTCGCAAATGCCACCAAAATATAATTTTGACAGTGATCTGTTTTGTAAAAATAAGGAAGAAATGTGGTCGATGTATTTCCTGAAATTTTACGCTTGTCAAAGTGTTAAAAGGACCTACCTGATTGTTCCAACCATGACGTGGTACCGGATTGAGAGTCGCGCTCGTACTGAACGTGGATCGAACGCGCCACTACGTTTTTTAACGGTAAACAATCGGACGACGCGCAAGCGCACACGGGTGTTCATATTGCACGTGAAGGATCGCCACGCCATTCATTTCCATGTGCATAAAATATGCGAGGCAATTCGCGTAATCGTGATGCACGTGCACTTGTTTCGTTGCTGATAGACACGCGTACGCGCATACGTAGCGCACCCTTATACGCTTGACATCTCGTTCAATTACAATCATCATCTCTTTCGATAGGTCATGCACTTTTTTTTTTACAAATATTAATTAACTGAAAGATTTAGAAATTTGCATATAAAATTTGAATAATAATGGTCGTATAGAAATATTTAATTGCTTTACTGCAACAAGATGTAATGTTTAGTTGCAAGCAAATTACACGTTGGAAATATGCGATTCATCGTTACAAGTTCCTTTTTCTGTTTTACGTACAATACGACATACGTAGATTTGTTCATTAACATTCGACATCAATTATGTTAATAAAAAGAAAATAAAAAAAAAACAGTTTTAAACTTTTTCAACTTTGCAACAAAGTATTTTGTGACGTATAGGTAATTAATACCTTGAAAAACTTTAATCTTTCTTCATTTTATTCTTATCTGTTCTGTTAAATAGTAATTACAAGTAATTTTAAAGAACACATCCATTTACGGTCATAAACCACATATAACCTGATGTGTTATATAATACGATGTACTATCAGATTTTTTCTTCCGGTAATCTTATAATAATTGATAACAAATAAGAAGGTTTTTAGATCGCCTTTATGCACGCACTCGTGTTCATTCGCATTTCACAACCAGCTCACCGAAATGTTTCGCTGAATGCACGTTATATAGAACCGCTTTCTACTTCACGCTGACAAAACAACGCTTAGGTTCGCTTTAAGAAGTCATTGTCACGGATAATTGGGTCAAGACGCCATACTTGCGCGTAACATACTTTTTTTTTTTTTCCTTCACGAAATAACACGCTTTCCTTCGTTACACTAACTTGTGCTACCAGCACCGAGTAAACCTACTGCCTAATTAAAACAGGGGAAAAAACCTAAGATTCCGTAACGAATCGACGTAACTTTCTACCGACGTCGGTGCAACTAGCCGCTACTAAAGATAGAAACCTTTTGGAATTAGGTAAAAACTGGTTAAAAAGAAAATGAAGATTCATACTTACATGACCATCGCGGAATTTTTCATGATGCGCCCGCATGGCCCGAATTGTTGTATTGGACTAGGTGCGTTCAAACTTCTTGTTCGCCTGTGAACACAATAAATGAAGCAATTAGAGGAATCATTGAAATATTAATCTTTTTACTATTAAATAATTTGTCCTGGTGCTGGACATCGGTAACTCCCACGGTATTCAGTGTGTTAGTGCGATAAGAAATTAAAACCCTAATTTTTAATTACGTTTACTTCTCCAATGATAATGGTAACATTATAATAACAATTATTCACACAGTAAATACTGCAGTTCAAATGGACTATGATTATTATTATTCCATTGTCCAATTTAAATTTTCCACACGTCAAATGTATCTGAGACATTGACCAGCGATGAGTCACATGGCAGTCAATCTAATTAGGTATTAAAATCATTTGCAAATGATACATTTCGTTTGAATAAGCATGAACGTCTGTGGGAATAAATGGCTCAAGTGAAAGAACCAATTAAATTGCACGTGGTTGGAAATAAATTGATCTTTTTGTAAAATGATAATTAAGTAATTAACGCGTTCATACTGACGTGAATGAAATGTAATTTGAATTTACGCGTCTATCTTTTTTGTGGGAGGTCTATGACCTTTTAATGCTCCTCCTTACGTCTCTCAGGCGTAACAAATGAAAATTCATAAGTTGTTGCATATTTGTGACGTTAGTGTACCATTACGCAAGATACGAATGTTTCTAATATTTTAACCAAAAATTTTGCAGATACAATTTTCTTACATTTTTTTATAAATGTAATTTTATATTCTTGTAGTTCAATTTGAACTTGGTCATAATATTTGTTCGTGTATCCCTCTCGTATTTTCAAGAAATAACGATAGAAGACGATTCGAGTTATCTTAGTTGCAGAAAAAGAGTAGAAGCTTTGCATAATATGATACTTAAGAGACAACGCATTTTGCGATGTTATAGCTACTATAATATAACAGACACATGCAAATTAATTTACAATACATTGTAGCAGCAATTACGTCGGCATCTTACAAAGTGACCTTCAGCAGTCGTAATTAAATAGTTTCAATTAATAAAAGATTATTGTTTCTTTACGCCAGTATCGGTACATATTTATTTTCCTTTTCAGAAAAAGGAAAATAAACGGGAGTAGTAAAATTTTTATTGGTCTGGAAAATAGGACAGTTTCTTTCACGCGAACAGAGTGTTCTTCTTAATCTATGCAAAGCGTATACGATCGACTAGGAAAGTAATTCATTGAACGTCATTACTCGAAAGAAGTGTAAATTATATTATGTATACTTTCCCGTGTAATGCAGAGTCATCGTCTTCTTTCAGTCTGACGCAAAACGCGTTAAATAAGAATCGAAATATCAATAGTTCAATAAAGTTAGTCGTCTCGATTACTTGTACGGTCTTCTATTTGCAAAAGAAACTCGTGCAAATTTGTTGAAGTTTATTCTTTAAAAGATTCTATTAACTTCCTTCTGTTCATTCGATGTCTTTCGCTTAAAACACGGATGAAAGAAAATTTTCTACCTGAGCACTCTGTTCCGTGGAATGTTTTCCATCGACAGGTTGATCGATCCATTTTCCAGGATATCGCGTTTAACATCGAGATGTCCGTTCGTTGTAACTTCCAGCAAAGGGGATACTTGGTCCGTCATTTTTTTTCAACGATTCAAAATCATTTATCTATTCTTTTCACATCGAACAAGGTTCGAACAAAGAATTTTGTAAACACTTCAAGCACTTTTACGTCGTTTAATTGAGCAAATTGCAAACGTTAAGGAATTCCAATGGGGTATTTATTTAACGCGACTCAAGTGTTTAACGACAGCAATTCTTCTTCATGGTTGCTTGATATTAAATACAATGAAAATACTGTTCGACGGAAGATTCTGAAAAGGCTGCAAAACCCGTCCCGTGTTTTTTTTTTCTTTTTTTTTTTTACGGAACTGATCATTAAAATTCTAAGGTCTATTTTAATGTGAAATTAACGATGTCCTTCGTACTAACGTTGCTTCTAAGAGATAGTTAGATTCGCTTTCAAGGGCATCCAATCATTGCTTGACAGTCTCTTGCAACTTTGCATCACAATTGTTTCCCTTTTTCTTCTTGTTCTTTGTTACTCTGACACATTAACATTTTACACGTGTAACTCTAAACAATTTTCAAACTTTCTGATTTTAATTTTTAATATTCAAACGACGGTATTTAACAACAATGGAAGATTCAGAACGTTAATTTGTTAACCTTGAACCTTTCTTTCCACTTGAAGGAACGTGTACAAGCGACGAGCATCGTTTATGAATTATTCGTGTTAATCTTGATACAAACTCAACGATGATGACGATGATTATAGCGCACAATTAGTCGTTCGTTTTCTCTCGATCTTCTCGCTAGTTCGACACGAAATAAACTGACTTTCCCGCACATGGAACATTCACCCCCACTGTTTCTCTAGTTTACTGTTTATCGAATTAGATAAATAAATGGAAAATGGATGGATTTCAAGTGTTTCACTAAAATGGACACGTTGCTCGGAAGACAAGAGCAGAAGCCTTTAGAAAGGACCGAATCGCAAGGTGGCTGCACGAAGAATGAAGAACAGACCTCAGGTAGCCAACGATTATGGGATTCTTCCTATGGACACGTCGGTACACCGTAAACTACATTGGTTCTTGTCGACGCTAACACCAATATATATATTTACGTATATTACGTAACGGATCTACGATCATTTTATATCTTATCGACTGTACTTGTGCAACAAGTGTGTGTCATCTTCGCTTGAAACGTTTAAAAAAGAAATAGCTACAAAGATGTTTTTAAATTGAAATTTTATAGGATATATCAATTTATGTAACTTTCATACGGTTCTGAAATTTGGCGGTAAAATTTGTCAACATCCTGTAGAAGGAAGACTTTGATAATCATCCCGAAATCGTTAGGTAACTTTTTCTTTTGATTTCACTCGAACCAACTATGTATCCAACGACTTTCTCTCGATCGATTGAGAAACACAAAGAAAGAGAGGGAAAAGGAGATTTTACGAAAAGATACGAGGGCATAGATATAGAAGAGGCAAGAATCTTTCTCACGAAAATGAGGCAAGTGTACGTTGAACGATCTTGCAAGGAAAAAGTTTTGCAAAAAAAGGAAATTGTTTGCTCGATTTTCTTTCTCCGTTGCAGCATCGAATATCCCTGTTAAGGAGAAAACGAATCGGCGTGTATGTCCGGTTCGGCAATCGATTGCATCGACGCGAATTTCTGAAATTCCAACGGACCTCTGCGTAACGGCAATACGGGGGCGCCATCGGCGAAACCCAAGGGAACCCATGGGGGCCCATCGGGCCATCGGGTGTTCCGTGCAACAACCGGGTAAAATGGAATGTACCAGCGAAAGGTGAACGCGTTCTCGCTCGCGAAGAAAGGAACAACAAAAAATCAACTCCCACCGTAACATTCGCGATTCGAACAGGTACCGGCCTCTTTGTACACGTGCACAGCTAAACAGCCGGCTAACTACGTATACAAACGAGTATCTACCATCGACTTAAAACGTCATATGCTTCCTGCCATTATAGAGTCTCCTCGAATTCCACCGATCATAACCTAGGGCAAATTCGATACTCTTTCCTAACCGTTTGGCATAGGTGTACGTAGTCTGCTCCAAAAATAATAAGACAAGATATACAGGGTGTTTCTCAGAGCGATTTTCAAGATCTTTTCGATATTTGTAGTAGTTGGCAAGGAGCATGCGTTGAAAGAGAGATTAGCAAGGAATTGTAATATTAATATTTTGTCATCCTTTGCTCCATTTCTGTATCTCATGACGCGTAGCGGTGTATTTTCAAGTTAGTCAGATCGTGAATATTCGTCTGCTCTATTCACGGTAGCTACACGACACGAACAGAGGAATGCTTTGCTGGTAATATTATGAATTTTAAACCACTCTGACGAATATGTCTATAAATAAAACGTTTCACACTTTCACAGCCGCTTCACGAACATGTTACATAAATAATGCACCGTTTAAACGGGTGTACAGTATCGTAAGCCACGTTCACGATGAAAGATTTAGGTTAACCAACACGTGTCCTACCTTAATTCAGCTTCGTCCATGTGCACCACTTCGCCAAATATACGCGTAATCGCGTGTTTCTCTTTCACGAAATATAGGAACAGCGACGTGCAAGAATTAGAATTTGTTGAAACGAAAAACGCGCTTCGATGTCGAGGAATTGAAGAAAATTCGTGAGCTAGCTTGGGCGGGACACGACGTTAGCGTCGCGACGCCCGAACGGCACTGCACGCATGCTCCGATACCGACGGTCAATCGATTTCGCTCTAGTGCGAGTCCACGGCTATTTTCTGCTGATTTTATTTCAGTTTCTTTTACGCAACTTGCAATTTTGGACCTGACACTAACGAGACACCAAATGAATGAATTAATAATAGGCGTATGAACATATTGATTTTTTTCTCGATTAACACGGACCCAGAAAAGACGAAAAATCCTATTGAAACAACAATAAGTAATTATCGGTTTAATAGAGGTGTAAACGTATCCTCAAGGTACATAGTAGAAGTTGAGTAAGCAAACGACTTCGCTCCTGTTTCGCATGAATTGGAATCAGATTACGCGGTTCCAGTTTAATTACGAAATTGAACGACCATATGTACTGGTTTTGTCGGTAGATTCGCCCGATTTTATTTTGCTTTTCGTTTCCTTCCAAACGAATCATCATTATCGCGCTAATTTCCTTGTTTTTCTTCATTTTTCAGGTCCAAAATGAACCACATCCTGGACAGAGAACACTTCCTGGTTCTAAGAGTCAACCTTGAGCTTCTTTGGTGAGTGCCAGAAATTCTAACTACTTTTTTTATTTTATTTAATCATAATTGCGAGCTAAAGTTCAATGAATTTAACATAATTCTTCTGCTTTTTTAACATTTTGACGAGCGTACATTTTATAAGATTTCTGATCTTTCGATCCTTCCGCTACGTGGAAGGCTTTCCAATTTACATGGAATTTGGGGAGAAGCCTAGGGGAAATTAGGGAGGGCCTAATACGTGACACTGATCGTCAAAGCGTTAAAAGTGCTTTTGAATTCGTTTACTCACGGCCAAGTGCCGGAACGTTTCCGGCGACGCATTTCCGGATCGGTGTCGTAATCCTCGAGGAAAGGCACATCCGTGCAGGCATCGTCAATAGCAGCGTTTCCTTTATTCCTGACGATGCATCGCCAGTCGAGCATTTCGCTCACGCTTCGTCGTCGTGGTTTTTCTCTCACCATTTCCATTCTCCCTTAATCATTCTCCCTCTTTGAATTCTCTCAACAGCCTCCCGTGCATTCGTCCACGTTATTACGCATTCCTTAATGTTCCTTTACGTTTTTGTGTACGTAACTGTGTGTTACAGCTGCGATGCAACACGTGTTCGATGGAAACGAACTCTCGACAAATACCCGCACATGTTCGACACTAAAGAATATTCAGAATAATTTTTTTCCAACCTCTACTTTTTAACTTCTGTTGAGTTTTGACACGGTTCAAACTTGGTGTAAAGTTCGATCACCATCGTTTCTTTTTCTCGTTTACGTAAAGAGAAATAATTCATTTCTAGCTCGTATTCCGCGGGGAACAAAAGAAAAACCTTTCGAAAACTCGTGTACCAATAAAATATAGAAAGTGTTACGTAATTTGTTTATCTATCGTATATCTGCGATACAGTTTATTATGCAGGAGAAACGAGTTTATTCGGACGGTGTTAATGTTAGCAAAAATCATAAATATCACTTGCGAATTTCTCCTTCTGTCGAGTTGGTCAAGGAAATTGCTTTGCAATGCTCGGTTCGCGTTAATTCCGTTTGATTTTACCGCGAGTTTTGTGACCTACTTTTCGTCGAATTTAAGAATTTCACTGCGTAACGAACGGAGCAATTGGTAAATCATTGTATGTACATATTTAGTATTTGCTATCAGTATCGTTTTCCCCTTTGCTCTTTATCTTATCGTTTAGCAGAAAACACATCGTGTTACATTTTCATAAAATATTCACGGATTATCTACTATACTCGATTATTTAGTCGAAATTCGTTCCACCTTGAATATAATTTAAACGTTAATGTTTTTTAAGCAAGGAAGAAGGCTAACTAGTAACAGTCGAATCAGAATTTCCAATGCTACCGATATCCCGTTATCGTTCTAGTTTCTTCGCGATTGCTATCGTCACGTGAAATCATTTCGATTACGGCTAGAAATTCATTACTTCTTTTTCGATCGTCAACGATTCTTTGTCCGTCAGATTATCAATTTTCACAAGAAACAAGACAATTCAGTAGCATAGTTGTTCAATAATCGTGCGTGTTGAACTGTGTTGAATTATTTAAAAAAAAAAAGAAAAAAAAAAGAGAGAAAGCATACTTACAAGGACGAAATTCTAGTTAAAAAGTACCGTGCCGCGATTTAAAAAATAATTTAAACTCGTGTTGCTTCGAGTCGAAGAACAGTCTGTCCATGGAGGAGAAAGGGAAGAGTTTTCGGTGGAAAACTATCGCGGAAAATCACGTGAACGGTTTAGAATCGAGGCTTTGAGGAATCGAAATGATGAAGAAACACGAAACGGGAACGAACGACCGGAGAACCGCGATCGGCGACCGCTCAGAGTTCACTGAGCAACGACTTTACCGGCTGCAGCCTCTGAAAGGCACTTAGGGCTTTCTAACTCGCACCTCCCCCACCATTCTTCGTATACTATCACACAGTGTGGCCGATAAAAAAAGTAAAAAGAAAAAGTGTCGAGGAAGCGATGATGAAAGTGTTCAACCGTGACCGCAAACACGCTTTGCCTCCCTCTCCCGTTTAAACATTTTTGCAACTTGCAAATTTCACGCAGAAACGATGTTGACCAATGGAGAAGATACATTTTTTGAAATGAATTCTAGCTCAGCTATCGGTCCTTTTGTCCCATCGAAGAAAGAAATCGTGTAAGCTAGGCTTGTTTCCATTGTTGTCGGAAGTCTCCACCCTAAGTGAAGCAAACTTCTAATCGGTGAAAGCGACAATGAAAGGCGAACGAACGATTAACTGGTTCGTTTGCAAAGAGACCTTACAATTGCGCTAACGGCACATTAGACGATGTCGAGCTTGACCCATTTTCATTGTTCTTTTCATTGATGCTAACGCTCGTAATAGCCCGCGTCTATAATTTCATTGTTTAGAACGTTCTTTTCTCAATTACGAAAAATTGTGTCTCTGGTTGAGCACTGTAGATCATCAGTGACCCGGACTCATACATGTAGGTACATATACGGATGTGTCTTCTTCTCGTTTACTTCCTTGTTGCCCTGATTATTCCTTCGAACCAGGTTACATCTCGATAAGAACTTTCAGATGTTGTTGAACCCTGCATTGTCGTCGAGTGATCTATATACCCGTGCTTCTCTTATTGAAATAAAAGAACAAAATGTATCTATATATTTCTCTCAAACACGACTCGATGCCTCTTCGATTGCATAATAAACAGTGATACATTCTGTGAGAAGTGTATATATAACAAGCAGGTCGTAAGGCATAACTGTAAACCAGTTGCACGTAATGCAATTATGGTATGAAAGTGATCAAAATTTATTGTGGCCGCCGGCGCTCGGTTGCAAAACCGATGAAACGACGAGCAAACCAAAATATCCCGCGGTGAAACAGGCGCCTTTTCAGGGCCGTACGATTACGCGTTTATATGTTTTTCTTCGAATAAACTTACAAATTTCATAGTAGTTTTCAAGCCTACGCCTTGGAGGGTCGCGCTTGGATCGCGGTAAAAGATTAACAATTTTCTTTCTGCATTCGTCTAACGTTCAAACACTTTAAGCGGGAAGAAAACTCGTAGTACGCATTCCATGAAATGAGACACTTTCCCATAAATGCCTGTAAAGCGTGTGGTTTAAGGACGATGTTGCGGTTAACAACGAGCTTGTGTCCTTCTGTAGACGCGTTTTGCGCGATAGAAACCCGGCAATCTCGCGTTCATGGTTGAAAATAAAATGTCCGTTTGCTAGTGAATATCACGTTTCTCCGATTCAATTGCAATGGTAAAACTCGAAAGTGGAAAATTATACAAATGTGTAACAGATGACATTGGTTCAAAGTAACGTGAAAGTGTGTCATAGGAAACGCGTCTTAAAGGATCGGATAGAAAGTACTATTACGTGCGATGATG